GGTTTAGAATGATTTGTTCATACATTTGAATTAGTTCATCAACTAATTCTTTAATGAAGGAAAATGAAAGTTCAGTCCTAATGTAAAATTTTAAATAATAAGCAAAGCATGGTTAACCCATTCTAAGTCTGTGCACAGCAACTGTTCTCTACAGTAAACGGTAGCTTTTCTCCACTGCCTTCGAGCTAAACTATTTCAAGACAAACGACACGCGCACAAGAAAGATACTTAAAATATCTCCAAGATCGAATAGGAATTATCACTTTCGAGGTAAGATAATGGCTTAGTTTGCTTTGTTTTCTATAACTCGACTCTCTAGTTCATTTCAGAACCCAAGGTAGCCTCATGACGGTTTTTTTTTTCCAGACTCATCGCATAATTTTACATAAAACATTCACAAAGGATAGTTGTGGTATCATTCAAAACCCTGGCTGCCTAGTTCCACTTTATGCTTCAAAGACAAAGCATATCTAGCACTTGCGCAACAGGAAGTCGCCGCACTTCGGCGCACATGCCTCTTCCGGTATGATGACACTCGGATAACCATATTTGATAGTTTTGCCTACCAAGATTGATTGCAAGGGAAATTTTGACATTTTAGATTTAAAACAGTACAATAACACAGACCACCCACTGTGTCTCGCTTGGGCAAGTGTGATATTGAGTAGGATTGTAGAATCGCTTACGCATTGAATTTTTGTCAAGCAATCCTTTGTTTAGTTCTAAACTCTAACCGATCGAAACCAGAGTCTTTCGAACATGAAACAAAATTCCGAGAAACTGCTCGTGCGTCACTAAACTGATTTTTGATTAGCAAAACTCATTAAAACGTAATAAACATGAAACGTGTCTTTTGAGTAAGCCTTATGAAATCCTCTCTTAACTGTTCCATAGTTTTGTCAGCGACGAATATAAATAGGGTTTTCAATATAGAATAAGTAGTCACAAATAGCTCAGCAATATAAAAATAAATACTCTGGGAAAGGAAAATACTGATATTGGAAAGTTAGTGCAGATGCAACATGTTAAAATGTCTCAGAAGAAGCATGAAAGATCAAAATACACCAGACAAAATCTCTATTTTAAAAAACTATGTGGCAAAACATTATTTTGAGATCTAAACACTACATTATGATCGCCAAAGTATGAAACGTCACTGTTTCTTAGTTGCAGATGACTGGTCAGATAAATTGGCTTTGTTCCTTGAGAAACAATCAGCTCTGTAGCCCACACAGTCCCCAATTACATGCAAACTACGGCGTACTATCAATATCAAAGGGTAAAACGAACTTTAGGTAACCTTTAGAAGAACAGGATTGATTTTAGGAAGATATCCTTTACCACTCAAAGAGACAATCCCATGTCCACATCACACCTACATTAATTTTAATTCTGACGGTCAAGTCGAGTCAATATCATGCAGCAAGTGATAAGGATGAAGAAAAATACCAATTAGGAGATTATTGGTTGATTCAAAACCAAATTCTCCAAACTCACATAATAGGAAATAAGACTTGTATGGCAGACAGTAAGAAGAATTATTATGGATATCTTTGGAGTAGAAGGGCTATTATGCATAAATTGGTAGGTATCACCATAGCACTGGCTCTAGAGAATACTATTAGCAATAGCTGGCCTTGTAGTTAAATAAGATCACTTGCTCGTTACCATGACGCCTGGAATGAGCTTTTCTTCTAGAGAAGAGATCCAAAATAAATAGCAGTTTACATTTTTTTACCCTCGTGATGTTGTGTGGTTCCCTGCATTCAAAAGTTTCTCAGAAAAATAACTTTACATCCCTTGGTTTTTCACCAAGTTCAAAATTGCAACCTCTTTCAAGTGTATAGTTCAGTTCTCTGCATTCAAACATATCTTATCATTTAGTGTGGAGTGACAAGACTCTGTTGTATCACCCAATGCTTGCTTTGTAAAGGCTACGCCACGGTCGTGGAGCCTTAATACTCAGCCTTAATTATCAAAAACGGATTTTAATTGCAAACCAAGTTCCCCATCCCTTACCATCCGCAATCTTTCTTGGTTTATTACTATCTTTTCAATGATTTCTACCCTACCATACAACTATTTCACAGTTTATTTCACATCAAAAGGCCATAATTTTGCGATACCGTCCTCCAATAAAGTTTTCATGTAGACGCTTAAAAGAGCGACAACGGAGATTCATAAAAACATCGTCAGTTCATAAGCCACTTGTCGCGTCATAGCTTTTCTAAACTCATTCACCCTGGCAGTGTTATCCTTTTAAGGCGGTAATCGGTAAAATTTACCGCCTAATTAATCTCTTATTACCGTCTGAAATCGCTTGGAATTCTTGAAAACTCATCAGGTAAAAGGATTTTTCTATCGTCTGAAAATTTTTACCTGCGATGATGAAAACAAGGGAGAACACTACATCCTTGTTACTGTTCCCTGATGTGCATGGACATCTTCGAAGTTTTCTTCTTTACGCAATAATCATTCCATTTTGATGCAGTTCGACATCACAAAGAAAGTTGCCTCAAGCTTTTTAAACGATATGCTCTTCAAGTGGTTTCCGCCGGAATGAGAAAAGGAAACTCTAAAAACAAATTCATTGTGTCTTTGTTTCTGAGCCCGCAGGCGCATCACGCCTTTAAGTGGCCCGCTAAGTGTTGTTATTATTTCGCAAAAGACGCAATGTTCACACCTTCCCACACGTCTGAGTGGGAGTAACATGTGCCAAGATCTTCACGTAACCAGGGTATGCCTAGGCAAAGTGTAAATACAGCATTTCACAGTACGCTTAACTAAAAAATTAAAAGGGACGAAGAAGAGAAGCTAATGGATTTCTGTTAAAAATACATGAAAATTACCGAAGGTTCTTCGCAAGGAAAACCGCCAAGCTTTGGCGTCACCATAAAACCTAAAATCAACAGCCTATTCATCAGGGATTGAATAGGAGCTAATGAAACCCAGGAAACAATTGCAAATTTTGGTGATGCCGTTAAACGTTTGAAATCAAAGACATACATATCACGCACGTTAAAATCACCTAGCAACATGGTATTCACTGGACAACCTTTAATTAAACAAAGCGCGGCCTTTTACTGCATATTTTAGATCTGGTTTCGTCAGAGGCATTTATCTTTGCTGACATTTTTTTTTCCGCCAAGCCCTGGTGGATCATTTCATTATCTTATCTCTTTGTGGCGTTTACAAAAGACAGCGGTAATAAAGTCAACGAGTTTTCTGGCAGTACAACTGCTGCTGAGATAACCGCAGAGGTCACCGATCCGCAGCTAAAACTTTCACGACTCGCGCCTCTGTGAATCGCAGCTACTGGTGAGTTTTGTTCAATGCAGTATAACGTCAAAACAGCATACTGTTTTTTAGAAAAAAGTTCTGAAAAACACCGCACGATATTGCCCCGGGGGGAACAAACATAATTGGAAGCACTGTCCGTGAGAGCATGTTTGCTGGGCAAAAGTTGACCTCTCTCCATCACAAAAACTCCACTTAGCATTTCTTTTGTGTAACACACAAAGGAGTCATCGATATATTAATCTACGCACAGCCGAAAAAGTAGCATTTCAATGACATTAGACAGCTTTTAACGCTAACAGAGAAACCAGACTTCAAAAGACACTATGGCTTGTACCTCGGAAACTTAACACCAGAGTTCTTTATCAACAGACTGACGTAACATCTGATCTTTTGACTCTGGAAAATGGATTCTGTTGCAATTAAGACCTTGTTTAAAATGGAAGACAAAAGTCTATTCTAAACAATTCTATACATGTCAAGTAGCTTGGCTTGTGAATTACAAATGAAGGCTCGTTGTCACGTTTTTCAGAATGAAACTGCACATTCCACTTGTACGTGTGCGTGTGAATAAACGCATAATCGATTAGATGAGAACATAGTTATTTAAATAAGTGTAAAATTATGTAAAAGAAATTACCCCAAGCAAAACCTTGAAGCGGATCGCATCTCTTAAAGAACAGCACGTAATGAACTTCGCTTAGCAGTTGGGACGCTATTGTTTCGAACAGTATTCAAATACCTATGAGGGAAACAACGTAATAATTTAAGAGCCCACATTAAAACTATCTTAGAATTCCAACTTTCAATCGCTCTGGCAAGCCTGGCGTTAATTTGACTTCACGTGAATAATTAAACACGTAAACATAACTTCCCAGAAACTCCTTATCATAAAACCTGCCCTTTTAACTTGAAAGAAAGGTAAAATTTGTTTTCGCTGATTCGGCTAAATTTAAAACTTCGCACTTGCAATTTAATTGGCAAATTTTAGTTTAGATGCACATTTTCGTTCAGTTATCCAGGCACCCCCTTTTAGTTTGAATTTTAACGCTGAAAAACTATTCTGTTTATATGTTTAGAGGAAGTAAACAATTAAGAACTAGAATAGCAATTGAGAGAGAGATTGCATCGGCGGTTCATGTGTGAAGGCTTTCCACAGTTATCGGAAGGACGATAAATATAGTTTTATATTAATCACTTAGTATATAATTAAAACCAAAGATGTGTTAAAATAATATGGTAAGTCGAGATTGTTTTAGATTTCTAAAAGACACTTCAAGAGCTTCCTTGAAGAGGTTACTCACTTATCAGAGTCGGAGTCATAATTATCCCAGAGGCTTTGGGATTATACGTATAAGTGAAAAAAAAACACACCTAAAACGTGTGACGTCTTGTCAAAGTAAAGGTTCAAAAGATGAAAACGTTTGACGTCTTGTCAAATTAAAGGTTCAAAAAATGAAAGTCGAAAAAATAATTTTTTTGACGTTCATTGACTTCGAGTTGGTGTCTGTTTGAAAGAATTCCCTTATATCTTATCCGACGGAAATAAAAACCAAAAACAACAGAGCAAGGCAACCAATTCTAAACTCCACCTTAGCTATTGGCTATTTAAGATGCATATGATTTTCGTGATCAAAATATATCTTTTGGTCAATCACAAAATAAACAACCCTGTCTAGAATTTCTCGGTCAGAAAACCGCAGCTAGTTTGCTGCTCTCATCGGCGTTTTAAGACACTGCTTAGCATCTTGATGCTTCAGGTAAGCTTTTCAAGTAGATTCACGCTTCCATTGAGGTTTAAATACGCTATAGCTTTTGTCCTCTCTGCTGGTGACCGCCACACGCCACTATATGATTAACACTGACTTTGAGTGGCTCAGAATTAATCCCTTTTCTGTCGCCCGCTTATGAGTTCAAAGTGTTATGTCCTTGCCTCAGTTGAGAGGAGTAGAAAACGTTTAGAATTGGGAAAACAGGTCAAGAACACAATAAACTTTCAATCCATCAGGGCGGGCGAAAAAGCGATTTTCTTCGGTTTCCCACTTAAAAGGGGGCGTCATAAAATCATTTCCAATTCTTCCCTGTCTGTCTCGAGTTTGTGATGACGAGAAAATCAAAGCAAATTGTAGGAAAATGAAAAGCCGCTTCTACCAAAGGTGCCAGTCTTTGTAAAATAGCATCCGCAAATTATGAACAGAGCAAAATATAGACCAAATATATAAAAGCTCACGCAGGTGGAATGGATTATGCTGATAGTAATGCAATTAGCGCACAATCGCCATTACGTCTTAGAACTTGTCAAACCCAGTCTGACTCTAAAAAGGGAGGCAAAATTTTTAAGGACAACATAAGAAACATCAGATTCTAACCAGGCCGCGCTGTCTTCGTTTAATATTAAGACACAGTCACCTGTCATTCAAATCATCACACAATAAAAGACGCATTAGCGTGTCGACACAAATTTCGTTACAAACAACAGCTTCCGCAACGGGTCAACAATATTCCCCGAGCGAATACGCAAGCCTTTTGATCTTTGAAAGCTAATATATGCAGCGAAGTCTCGGCGTTCGTTAAGAGCGCGCTTGCGCAATTAAACAGCGTGTGCGCGACCCCTTGTATTCGATCCTTTTCAGTGATTAAGTGCACTGTGCACTGCAGGAAAACCGTACTCTCTGGACTCTGTTAATAAGTTTAGCACCTCTTTGAATATCTAACAGTTCTTTGTGCTCCTGTGTTGAAAATCCACCAGGTACGGGAAGCGGTGATGGTGAAGATTCTACTTTTGATCGGAGCCCTGTGCTCGATGACCGTTACTAGTACAGGTTAGTGTGTGTTCGAACCTATTGTAAATAAGCGTGTCAACTATTTTGGTAGTTCTCTACTAGACGGTTTTTTTCTGTTAAATGGTGGCCGCTCATAGGTGTCAAATTTCCAAAATATTCATACTTTGGCTCAAGATCTGTGCGATTACTCTAGCACGGGAAAGCCGTGTCGAATTTTCGTTTCTTATGCCACACCTTGACAAGATGTGAATGATTTGAATTTCGTTTCTTTGGAACACTGAGCATTCATTTTATCGCCGCGATTGCTGTTGTGCGGCAGAGGCAAGACCAAGCTAGGACCCCAGGAGTCCATTCGCGTTTGATTTGAAATTTGAGCCCTAAAATCTGACTGAAATCTCCCTTAGTCTTTTATCACACTCTCTCGACCCTTAACGATCGGAATAATGCACGTTCAGCATCACAATCAAGAATTTAACTTTTTCTCATTACAGTATCCAGGAGGTTGCTGTAGCGAGAACGTACTGCTTTGTTTGACGAAGCATACTGTACATCTTCACAGGGTGTATATTTCTCATTTTTCGCCCACTGCGAAACTTTCGAGTGATTCAATGCTAAAACGCTGCGATCAGAAATTGAAACTCAGCGCGTCAACCGAATTTATCGCAGCTCTTTGTCTTGCTTCAAATAAACCGCTTAAAACAATCGTAAGGTTAGAGCGAAGTTAAATGTTTGTGTTCACTTTCTTTGGCCCTTATTTAGTGGACGAAGACAGTCGTTTTGAAGTAAATTTTCGCAGTGATAGTTTAGGGGTGCACTTCTGATCATGTATTAACTTCGCTAGGAACTTGTTTTTAATTTTTGTTGCCGATACAAGTTTACCAGTTATGCAGGAGTCGTCGAAAGGTATTCCTTGCGGATTGTGCAACATTTTGCTTTTGTTTCTTTTTGGATTTAAACTTCCCTCGGCAAACAGTTTTCTGTAAAAACCCGCGGCATGCGACGCATTCGTGATCGTCATGTAATACTTGAGCAGTATCGGAGTGGAGTGAGTTTCGTCACGTATTCTGCAATATAGCCTCATTGTTAAAATGTTGTTGTTCTCGGTGCAAAAGGGCGCCTCACGGCAGACGTTTTATTTCAAACAACTAAACTTGCGTTTCGCGAATTTTAGAAAGTTTATCGATAGAACTTGCACAACTTTCAATAAACAGATTGTCGAACTTACGGCTCAAGAGCACAAGGATTAAGTTCCATTTTCAAGGACGAGGTCATTTGTTATTACTTATCACGACATAGAGAGATAGCAAGTTCCTGATTTGTGCCTTACTTTCTTAACTTCTCTGTTTTCACTAGACAGATCAAGTTTCCTTTTTCAACTCGTTTTCGTCTCATCTCAGTTGGAATCAGGACAACGATACATTTTTTCAGCTTTGGGAAAGAGCAATTTGCTCAAAGTTTTTGAACTCTGCTAGCGAGCAAGAATCTGATCTACCGCTACAATTTATCTGAACTTGTTTACGATTGAGAATAAATCGCTTGCATTGAAATGTGTGCAGCAACATAAAAGATTAAACAAGAATGTGGCCGCGAATGGGATTTGTTCATGATGATACTGGGAAAATATTCGTCTTGAAACTAAATATTGGGCCACAATTTTCGAATTCCGCAAACATTTTTGTTCTCTAGCCAAGAGACATTCACTTGATGAGTGAGTTTAGCCCTCCTAGCGTCTGAAGAGCGATAGAGGCATAGAAACATTTTAGTTTAAGATCGCGAGATTTATTTCGTATTAAAAAATCGACGAAGGTAACGAACATACTCACGCACGCAAAAGGCCACTCCAAAAATATGTATAATACAGAGATATTTTTTTGAATCATTTGCATTTGTTTTGCTTGACTCCACCATGCGCTCAGTATTTTGGCTGATAATTATACAAGTTGGGATATAATGATCTGTCACAAACTTCGATAACTTTCTGTTTAGAAGCATTACAAACTTGGCATGTTAGTGGAATTCCCCTACGACTAAAATACACTCGATTACTGATCATTCCGTGGGTTCAGCGAACAGTCTAACACAGAAGCTTATATAACTAAAACATAATCAAACGAAACATTTAGCTCATTCTAAGGCGAAAAACACGAGACCTGACACCTGACGAATAAGAACTGGTTGGGAACTGAGAGAAAGAAAAAGCGAAAGAGCAATAAAAACACCATCTTTTTCAAGATTCCATCAGTTGGATAAAAATTAGCAGTTAAAAAAGGAAAGATAGCAAATTGAGTACATATTATTTCTGTTTACTATTATTCAGCATACTCTACGTGTGAATGCATATTTAGATAATTCAACACAAAAAGGAATTGTAAACATGACGTTTCCTGACTATTGTTTTGGTTGAAAGGAAACTTTTAACTTGTCTGTTTTCTCCTTTTCCTCTACTATCATTTATCCGCACTGTAGTTTGTGTTAAATCTACCTTAAGTAAGTGGTGACATTCTCTTGAGCATTTATTTGTAAAGCTATTTTAGCAGCGAAATTTGAATTGACTCCTTTCAGCTCTGAAATCCTTTGACAGCTACGTAGCTATATCTACGAGAATTCAAGATTTTATCATTTGAAATGACAAACTAAATTGTCATACAAATTCTTTCCAGAGGAAAGAAAGGACTAAAAAATAAATTTCTTGATTAACATTTACCACTGAAATTTTTATTGACAGTAACATACAACACCTTCAACATAAATTGTGTATGATAATTTTTTTAATGAGAATTGCGCTTCATTAAACTCTTTCAGACTTAAAATACGGTAAATATAAACAGTTTTGATCGCTGAATGGAATTTGCTAGTCGAACTATACCGAAAAAACCTAGAGTGACTAGAATATTAAAAAGAAAAAGCAAACCATGAAACAAAACATTTGTTTTCAACTACAAAAATATATTCAAGGATATGAAAATCGGAAACTAAAGTAATTCAGAATTATATCAAATTCAAAATGTATTAGAAACTGCAAAAGAAATCACATAATGTGTGAGGTAGCTGCATTTTATTTGAACCGCAACATGTGTGAAGCTCACAACAACGATCAAATTTCATGTACGAGATAAAGAGGAAATGTTTAATTCGTCGTTAAACAAAAATGAGAAACTTAAGCACTAGTTTAGTTTTAAGCATGTCACCACTTTAACTTACAAGATACAGATGAATCAAAAAGGTTTTCTGAGAAGAAGAATAATATGTATTTGCTAATTGTACAAAGTCAAATGCAACGTTTTTTCGCCATGGTCGATCCCTAAGGCAGACTCCAAATTCAAATTACATTTGCCTCAATATTTCAGCCATAGGCTTTGACCAGTTGAAACAGACTGTTGGAAGGGGGGGAGAGGGGTTAGACTTTGCCTGCTACCATCAGTGTAATACTGACTAATACTAGTTTGTCTGTTTGCTAAACTTCAGGTTCTAAACAGACGCCCTTGAAATTAGTTTCGGCAAACACAGAGCTACACATCATTATCATCACCATCGTTCGATACACAGCTAGAAGCAATTGTGAAGTGCACTAAACAACACAAATAGAAATAAAGTCACTGTTATTGTTTCCATTTTTCTCCTCTTGCTTGTAATGGAGATGAAATGGCCCAGTGTGACTTTGATCCAGAATGTTAAGTTTGAGTTTGAGCTCTATCCAGGTCACTGTGTTGTGGTCTGTTCAAAGAGGGAGTTATGAAACTCCTCATCACTTCCTGCTTTTGAAACCCACCAAAGCTCCAACAGAGGGGCTTCTGGGTCATGAGCATTTTAACCCCTTACACCCTAACGTCAGTAAGCACACACTCTATGCAGTTTTCCATAAATTTTATAAGATGCTGACAAGGAGAATTTGTTTCACAATCAAGAGCCTCTTTAACTGGTAGTCATTTCTTTTATTTTGGAGACCTGAATACATGATTCTGGGGAATACTGTAAGGATTAATGAAATGCTAGTCACTCTTAGAGGTCAAAGGGTTAAAACTTTCTTTCACTTTTGCACCTCACAGATGGAACAGTGACGTTACCCCAAAAAACTTTCAAAGTGCAACAAGGAAGAGACTTCAGAGTATCATGTGAGGTGACAGGAGAAGATTTCTTGTATTGGTCTACACCATCAAAACCAGCTCGACCAGGGGTAGCAGCAATACCAAGCGTTAACATTCAAAACGGACAGACCATAGATCGCAAAAGTGTCAAAGTGACCGGAAACACTTATGAACTAACAATAAAGGATGTTTCTGTGCAAGATGGAGGGAATTATGTCTGTCAAGGATCAATTGGTTCAGCAGTCTTTATCCTTGAAGTTGACTGTGAGTAATTACTTATAAGTTCATGTAACATTGGATGGTGCATCAGAATGCACATCCTCTATACTGTTCTCTAAACATTTCCTTAGCACTGATAAGGAGAATTTGTTTAACAACCAAGACCTCCTTTTGTTGATGATCATTTCTCTATTCTTGTGACCTAAATGTTTGATTCAGGGGTGATAACTTAAGGAGAAATTGGATGCTGGTCACTCTCAAAGGAAATGCATCACAGCTGTTAGGTCAAGCAATTTTGGGAAATCTTTCCATTCACAAAATGGTCATAGATGTGCATGTATGAAAGATGTTGCAGCATTATTTGGTTTAAACTGTATGAAAACTCTAAAAAGTCGTACACCTATACACAAAACTCGAGAAAAATAAATGGGATCTCTCTCGAGCCAACCTGAGAACCCTTAGGCCCTACACTACTTAATCTTTACGACAGTGGTCATTCACAATGAAATCTATAAAACCTTCCTTGTTTGTACTGAATGTGATTAATGACAATTTCTTTCTCAATTTCAAAAATTTTTAGGTATGAATTAATAAAATTACACAGGACTACCTAAAGTACAATAACCTGAATGATGTGTGTGCACTCTTACAAGAACTCACAGAACACCAATGTTAGCCACAGCATTTGACCCACCAAAGTAAAAAATGTGACTGGAAAAATTGAGCTCCTTTAAATATTGTATAGTTGGCCTAGAATTGATAAATCTTTAATCCAACCCAGCGACTACATGCAAGTGTTGTGCTAGGTCTTCTAAGGCATCAAGAGGGTAGTTCACAATGCTAGAGCTTATCCTAAAACTATTGACATGAAGTACTAAGGTGTATGGCTGTCTCTCAACTAAAAAGCTAGTCCATCACATAAAACCTCCAGCATCTGGCTAATTTTCCTGAAAGTTTGCTGGTACCTCTACTGATTGATAATTTCCGGGTGAATAGAATCTTTCCCAAGAACCAAAGCCACTGACCAAGTGATCAGGTGCTTGAACTCCAATGTGTACCACAAAAACCTGTTCACTTGGCCATCAGACCCTCAATTAAGTACTAAACAAAAGCTTGTTTGTAAATCAAACTGCTTTAGGCACCAAAACTAAAACAACAAGTTGAAATACAATCTTTTCTTTCAACAGTTGAGATAGGAGGGGTCCAAAAAAAACAGACGCTTAAAATTGGTGAAAAAGGGACCATAGTACTAGATGTACCTGCTTTCCCTTCACCTACCTACGAATGGGTTAAGGATGGACAGGAGGTGACCTTCCCTGACCCAAGTGGAAGAAGATCCCTGGATAGCTACACAGGATCAATAGTCATCACACAAGTCCAGAAAAGCGATGAAGGAAACTATTCTTGCACAGTGACCCTTGGAACAGGAGACACGGCTCACATTGAAGTGACAGTTGTTGGTACGTCCCTTTGAATTAAATGGCAAATTTAATGGAATCCTAACTTGTACATCTGTTGAGAACTATATGTAAAAAAAACTATTATAATAATAAACGTTTCCAAGCATACATCATTTCAATATCATTTTGTTATTATCAAAAAAATAAAAAATAAAAACTTGTTCAGATAATATACAAAAAGAAATAGTCTTGATATTCAGCAGAAATTAATGAAAAATAACTGTGTATCAAATAGGTTGTTACATGTATGGATAAAAAGATTACTGGTTATTGTAATTTCTAAAAGTATTTTAGCTCCTTGAGTAACTGTTTCAAAAAGATAGTTTGATGTAAATGGTGTCTTTCTGAGTGTTTTGTTTGGATTTTAACCTAAAGATCTACATTTCAAAGATCACCTGCTCAAACTTTCACAGAAACTTTATCAGAATTTAGAAATGTTTTGGTCATTTTTCAAATGTTTGCAAACAGCTGAAGATCTCTTTTCAGCAAATTTATAAATGGGGGTTCCTCTCCCCATGCCTTAGCTTTGACACCAAATATTCAACTCTCAGAAACTTGACATTCAAGTACATGATGATCTTGTCTCTGAGGTCCTTAAACCATTTTCTGACAGCATCTTTAGATTTCCAATCATTTGCCGGCAATAAAATGCAGACAGTTTTGTTCCCTGATATGGAAGTCACCTTACATAACATTAATACTACACTGTGATTATTTTCTTTTCAGAAATGCCAAAAATCAATAAGGCCAAAGGGAATCCTGTATCCCGAAGATTAACACAAGGTTTTAATGCAACATTCCTATGTGATGTTGAGTCTGGCTATCCCAAGCCAAACATTGAGTGGTGGTTTGAGTGGTCGGGTAAGGTAAAACAAGTGGAGGTGATACACTATCCACGATACACACATCCAACTCCTAATGCATGGACAATAACAAATATCCAGCCAGAGGATGCAGGAAAATACAGATGCATAGCAACAAATGAAGCTGGGGAAGATGTTCAGCTGTTTGAGATCACTAGTGTTGATGGTAAGTTGGTTAGCTTTAAGTTATCCCAAGTAAATAAAACAAGTACACATGACACACAGTTAATACTAGGTAGCAGATAAATGTTGAATACCAAGGGAAACACTTTGGCCTAGTGTGCTTTAAATGCTGGACTAAAAGGTCTCATTTTGAGCTCCAGTGGCCCATCATCAACCCATGTGTTGTATCCTTGGGTAAGAATTGACTAAAGTGGATGTCTCTAATCAAAGACAAGGCTTGGCAATGAGTATTTGTAAGTTTAAATTGAAAAGATTGACAACGTGAGGGGTTTCTAAAGCTGTTAAAAGAAGTGGCTGCTGACAGTGGAATAAGCAGATGTTACCACAAAAAAGGCCGTTCCTGGTAAAAATACCTATGAATGTTACCAACAACTCACATAAAGCCTTGTAAATAGTAGTGGCTCACTGCTAAGTGGCTTTCACTGAAAGACTAAGCCAGGCAACTCATGTTAACATCTGTACCAACAAGTAATCTATTTACCTTTTCAGTTCCACCAACAATTGATCCAATGGATGATATCATAGCCAATGAGGGCAACAGAGTTGAGTTGACCTGTTCAGTAACAGGTACTCCAAAACCTACAGTGGAATGGTACTACCTTGGAAGTTACTACTTAGGCCAAACGGTAATGTGTTTGATATCATTACAATTCATTTGAATTCTCTGTTCTGTGAAACTCATAATGAACACCTGCACATTTACCCTTTTGTTTCCAGAAATTATCCAACAGCCACCGTTTTTTGGGAAGTGAGCCTTCTTTACCTTGTCCCCCCCCCCCCCCCAAAAAAAAAAATTTCAACCCATATAGTTTGATTCAAAATAAAATAAAAAATTCCCTGACCTGACTTGTCACTGGCCCTTTTGTCCTGCTATCAGACTTAACTTAACTTAACCTTGGGTACAAGTGGAGGGGGAGAAGTGGAAGGGGAAGTCCTAGTTGTGCAAACCCTCTTCCCTGTCAGCTGACATTTTCCCCTTTTACCCTCCATTGACTGTGATCACACTAAAGATTTCTTTGCAAGTGTTTTAAGAATTCTAACTTTAAAAGTAAACTGGCCTTTTGCCTTGGCTTTTCCTTGACTGTGGTAATGGTCTATACACATTTGAAAAATTATATGGTAGTATTATGCTTCACCTGACGGGCTTGGCTCATTCTTTCAGGTTTCAGAGGATGATCAAAGCAACAAAATCACTGCAAAAATAGTATTTGAAACAATGAAAGTTCAAAACTCTGGAAAGTATACGTGCATAGCAAGAAATGGTGCCCGCAACTTGACTTCCGATACCGTTATTGAGGAAAAGAAAATGATTGAACTACTTGTAAGATGTAAGTTGTCTGATGCACAGACCTTGCCTTATTTTTTCACACAAAATCAAGGTGGATTTTGTATTAGCAGCATTTTCTGACTGAGCTAAAGTGAACTCACTATCATCATGTTCCAAAGACAACTCACAAACCATAAAAAAGGGCTCCATTCATCAAAATTTAGCCACAACTCTTCAAAGCAATTAGAAACTCTTCGATCTCCAAAACACAATGCAATTGCACTGCTTCCAAAAGGGATTACAATACATCCCAGTTGATAATTTCTTAGTTCCCACAATCAGTAAACATGATGATGTATTAAACCATGTATAGGAAAGAATATCTTGTGATCAGTGTTAGAAGTTTTTAAACTTACCAGAATCATTTTATAGTCATGTCTTCTTTGAATTGATGAGTTGGATTTATCATTCATAAAACAATTTGCAACGTTTTTCTTTATTCCATTCAGCGATGCCAAAAATCAACTCAATTGAGTCACCTTCTCCAGTTTACTCTTTTGTGGGACACAGGATTCCTGTGTCAGTCACGTGTAATTTCTATGGATATCCAGTTCCGACAGTGAAAATGTTTTCTGAAAATGGCACAGAGATTGCTCATGGAAACCAGTCAGTGTCAATTGACATCACTCCTTTATCTGAGGATGATTTTGGTGTTTTCAACTGCACTGCAGAGAATGCTGAAGGAACAGCAGACTATATGGTGGAGTTGAAACAAGCAGGTATACAAAAAAAGATTACATGACCACTCAACTTCCTTATATAACAGGGCAGTCAGGGAAAGAATGAAATTGTTGACACTTCCGTGGATATCATATGATAAACTTCTTGCTACCAAGTTTTGAAACTATTTACCAAATCTATGCCAGTAACAAATATCTCAAAGGGCAATATCGTGATGTAGAAGCTACCAAAAATGATTATTCAAAAATACACATTTCGGCATGTTAAACACATACTACATCTAAGCAAGAGGCTCCATTCCTCATGTTTAGATTGTCTAAACTAATCATGATGTATTGCAAACACTTTACTGTGTTTAAGGTTTCCATAACTGCCTTGCATTCTCCCAATTCACCTTGTTTTTAGATGAGGCTATGTGAACACAGAAAAACTCCTCTATGGCTCCCATGAATCATTCTTTTACACAAACTGTAGTGTCAAAACTGTGCTCGCCGCTCATTTAAATACTCTGTTTGACTAACAAGAGCACTTGTTCAATACTGATAATCCTATGAAGTGTTAATCCTTTTCAAAAGGTAGTGAGAACATTGGAAGTCTTATAGAGTCATAAACATAACCCACCATCAAAAAAAAAAATTTAAATCTGCAACTGAGCACTACACCCTTCAAAATTCGTAAGTATCAGTGATTAAAGGTTACATGTACCATTTTTTTTCACCAAAATTTTTGGTTTTAGTTCCACCTGGCCCACCTCAAGATGTTCAGGCAGAGAAAACTTGCAACAGCATCACTCTTATGTGGAAGCAACCATTGGACAATGGTGGCATGCCTATCATCCATTATGTCATAACAATATTGTCAAATGACAGTGAACTCCAGAGCAAAAATGTTGACTGGCCTGCAGAGATGCACAAGATCGATTATGAGTTTACAGCAGAAACTACTTATGAAGTGAGGATAAAAGCACGCAGTGAGCCAGGAACAGGACAGGAGGTGAAACGTTCTGTCAGAACCAACAAATTCTGTGAGTACAGTAACTGTAAAAAGGCTTACAGGGCTGTATAGTAGCAAAGGTTGCAACTTATACCTATCAACATATATTGATAACGGTGAATTGAACAGTTTACACCTGAATCATAGGAAGTGCATTTAACACAGAAGGTGGGATAATTCTAAAATTATCAGCACAAATTGACACTACCACCAGTGCCTTTGTTTGGAAGCCAAGTATATCAACTCCACCTGCGCTCCATTAAATTGCTATGATGGTGGCTTACTACCTGAAGCCTATTTACACCTCATGAGAAAAAAGGGCAGCTAATTATTATGCATATAAAAAGGACCTCTTGTTGTAGTGGTTAGATCACCCCTGATGAAGGCACTAGACAGGAGTAGCAAAACATTGGGTCCATGAATTTTAACTTCTTGGTTACAATCATTAAGTCTTTAAACCAGAGTAGCATCAAGCCATGTCTGATTGTCCACCTGGTTGCATTGTATGTTACATAATTTCAAATTAACTTGCTGCCAGCCTATAGCTCTTGGAGTCAATTACATGTTCTGTTTAGCTAACTTGTGTCTCACTACGCATTTGGCTTTCCAGCCTGCATCCCCAAGCATGTTTAAAGTAAGGCTAAAACCATTCAGCAAAGATATAAAAGGGGTGACCTCTGTGATTACCAACTGATCTGCTGTTGGTCTCTTGAGCTTAACAATAGAGAAAAGGTTTCTTTTTTACAAATTCATCTGCAGCTGTGTGAACATGGCTTGAATCTAAGTAATTGGAAATGCCTTTTGAGTATTCAAGGTAATCAAACCATTTTATACCCAGTCAATTTAATTGCTTTGTGGGACAAGAACATCAAATGTTTAATGAAATGTTGACAATTACGATGAACTTAGAACACTTGAAAGATTTGCTGTTTAGTGTTAAAAAAATTAAGCGAAGCTGAGCACAACACTGCATACTAAGACAATCAACTTAAATACATAGGTGTGCCTGGAAAACCCACCATCACCAACACAGAAATGAATGTTGATGTAGACTTCATTGTAACCTGGGAAGGGCCAAAGGACGATGGTGGTGATCCAAACTTGAAATACAGTCTGGAATGGCGCAAGAAACCCATAAATGCCAACACAGAAGTGAGTAAAGAAGAGAACATCCAAGAAACTCAATTCAAGATTACTGGTCTTGACTATGGGTCAGAGTATGAGGTAAAACTCTTTGCAGTCAACGAAGCAGGTGATAGTGAGGCAGATACCAAGGATTTCAATACAACACAAGAACCAGGTAAGTCATATTCACAACTTCACCTAAGGTACTCCTATCTGTCTTTAATATGTATAACAAAGCAAAAGATTTTTTTTCCTGATTAAAATGAACCACAGGGTTCACTTATCATGAGCAATTTTGAAGGACTTAAAAATAAGTGGAAAATTTGGAAACATTTCAGTTCAAAAAATATGTAAGTGATGATAGATACAATTAAAACATTTTACTACAGATTGGATCAAAAATACAAGGCAGTGCTCTGTGTGCTATCAGAAGAGTGAAGTCATCACATCCATCTCTGATTTGATGACTTTCTACGGCATTCTGATATAGAGCAATTACTGACAGAGTATATGTACCTATACTGTGCAATTTGATCAAAGGCCAGGTAAATTAAATATCAACCAGAGAAAACCTCTACCTAGATGAAAAAAAAAGTTAGAAAATTTACCATTTGGGTACCAATTTAACTTTCAAAAAGCCTTATTTTTCTGAAATCACATTTGAAAAGATATGATGAAAGAATAATAATCAAATAGGAGGAAAATTCACTATAAAAGAAAAGTTCTCTACCTAGCATACAGTCAACACAAAAAAATTAGCGTAAACAATCATACTGTACTCAAGTATATGTTAAATGGCTGATCCATCTGATTCCAGGCAACACATCAAGAGCACATGATAATTTGATTTCAGCAACTGAGTTGATATGTAAATTGGCCTTTGTAAAGAGTTTCTAAAGCTAAATGTTTTGAGTATCATAGCCCTTCATCAGGTCAAGAGCACAGCCTTGTTAAAGCAGTCTCAATTATCAGTTATCAATTTATATACTACAGAGTTCACACATTTAGCAAAATTATCTCACTAACCTAGTACTTATTAAAAAATATCTTCATACCATTAATGCGAGATTTCTTGCTAATTTATTTTGAATTACGTCATAACTATTGCCCTTATCACGCACTGTTTTGTTTCATTTACTAACACACTTTATAATTTTGTTACTCACAATTACTCGTATTTAAACTGACATACATTTAACATTTTGCTTCTTGGGCACAAACAGCCATCAATAAATCCAGAATATGTGTGAATAACACACTAAATCAAATGATAAATGTGGATATTCTTAGAACAACCACCTACCAACTTCTTAACATGATTCTATCTAATTGACCCAGCTTCTGAAATACATAGATCCACGATACTCTTTCACAAAATTAATGCACTTTTAAGTTTAATTTGAATTATAGTTAAAATAATTGTATTTCCAATTAAATACATTATAAACACGATATAAACCTGTTTTATTTTTTGAACTTTTATAATTCAGCAAGCACCACAAGTTCCACACAATGTAAGTGCACCCACATATTTTGTTGTTATTATTATTATTATTATTATTATAATATATATAAATATATTATATATTATTTTCTTTCAGTTGGCTAAAAATAAAACGGTATTTACTAAGCTCCTTAGAATTTAAAGGTACTTAAAAGAAGGTTTTAATGTCACTTGTTTCCAATTCGACTGGGATTCACCTTTCATATCATCTAACCCTTTAACTCCCAAGAGTGACAACTATCTAGTTTCTCCTCACAATAACACCCCTGAATCACACATTATTAAAGAAAATGATTGCAAACTCAAGACACTCTTAATTGTTAGCCAAATCCTCCTTGTAATTACCATGGGTAATGCACAGAAAACAGTTGGGAGAGTTTGCATTCCAATGTTTGGAACCTAGTAAACATTTTGTTCAGACAGAAATTTCAAGTTAGTAAGCAGATACTTTAAGCCACAGCCATTCCATTTTAAAGAATTAGATGTTTTTTTACCATATTTTTCTGAGTTCTAACTCATTATCGTAATCACTACCAGGTATTTGTTGATAATAATAATGGTGAAGCAAATTTTTTTTAATTAAAAGACTTCCCTACGGCATAAATAAATTCTAAAAATTATAATTATCAACTGGAGGTATTTTAGATAAAATATATAAAAAATAACAAATAAATATAAGCATTGCTTTTTTGATATTGGATAAATGGATAAATAATGATACTGGCAGAATTTATTTTACACTAAGTAATAAATTCTTTAAAAAATAATAAAATCACAGGTTAGATCGCCCAAGATAAATTAAAACTGTAGGATAATCTAATACAACTACTTTGTGTTCAGCTGCAATGTAACCACAAGTTCAAAGCTGTCTGTCTGATTCTCTATTTGTTAACTCTCCTTATTCATTAGAGCTGCATGCTCCAAGAGTCCATGAATTATGTGCAGTTTTTTCTTTGAAATACTTCAATGTGACTTTTAAATCCACAATTCCCTTTTATTTTCTCTCTTTACCAACAAAAGCATCCCTTGTTATTCTATATTTTTGAGCTGAGTGCTGTTGTTAAGCAGGTTTTATCTTTGACCCTTTAACTCCCAAGATCTGATCATTAATTCTCCCCTCTAGCTGCTACACATTTCCTTGTAAATTAGTCATAAGAACTTGGTGCTAGATCAAGATGGCAGCTTCTACCTGATAGTTTGAATGTTCTCATTACCTGTTTGCTGAATAATGTATGGATATTGTAGGGAGAAGATTTAAGTTAATCACTTCTGGGGGTTAAATGGTTAAGTAACTCCCAATGAAGTGCTAATTTCTCCTATGAGGCCCATATGGGGTGAGATGATTTGGAGGTTGACAGGCAATAGAAATTGCCTTTCTGTTTTGAATGTATCAAAGTTATTACAGATTGGGTGTGCTAGTAGGTTGAGTGGTTTTATTAAAAAATCAAGAGGTTTCACAACAACATGCCAAATGTACATCTAGATTCTTTGGTCTGTGTTTTGGTTCAATCAAGTTTGTTTTTGGTCATTTTTCTTTCCTTGAGAAGAGGCCTTTGCTTTGTGCACACTGGCTCTCAACCTTAAAGATTGTACTTGACATTTCCAGAAAAAACATATACCAAAAAAGTTTAGGTCTACACTCTAATTCATTTGTACTAACTTGATGGCTTGATTGTCCCTTGTAGCTAATGTGAAATCCTTTCACACTGGATCCCCCACATTCTCCTATCGCACGGGATCCCCCACTTCAAGCCCACTCACATCAGAAAACAAACAAACCGTGACCACATGTAAGTGGAGTCTCTTATTTGAATCATGATTCAGGTCCATAATCTGTTCAAGAACAGATTCATATACAAAGTCTGTTCAAGTCTCATCTAAGCTTGGTTGACTTTCCTGACTTAAAACTTCTCATGGTGGTATTTTTCTTGTGTTGCTGTAGAGTATCTTTGTCTTGGTGTGGGTGTCTAGGTGCTCGGAGTGACTTCATTGTCTTTGTGTTTTGGTTTGCAAGAGAGAAATGTTGGTGGTACTTGTTTTTGAAAATACATCTTTCCCATCATTTAAGTATTTGCTTCTGTTTAATACACAACGACTTGAATTGGTTTTTATTTCTTGTGTTGCTGTAGTGTATCTTTGTCTTGCTGTTGGTGTCTAGGTGTTCAGAGTGATTTAATTGTCTTTGTGTTATGTTTGCAAGAGAGAAATTTTGGTGGTACTTGTTCTTTGAAAGTACATCTTTACAATCATTCATTTTTATACTCCTATTTAATACAGAACAACTGAAATGAATAAAATTTTTAGGTTTAGGTATAAAAAATTTATTACCATAAGTGGTATGTGCATTTTGAAAGAGTCTTTTCCAGTGTCTGTCCTAGAATTGATTTCATGAGAATGGGCAGACAGCTGAATGTTTTAAGTACTGCATTTATAATTGCTAAAATCAAAGAAACAAGCTTAGTTTTAAGTCTTAAAGATAAAGCAGCCATAAATTGCATTTATTCAGATGGAAAATATTAATTAAACGATGAAAGTCATATCCATCCTCAAAATAAGTTGTTTATAAAAACTATAACTTCTATTGACTCATCAATTTAAGTCCAAGCATTGCTTACTTAAAAATAACACCAAAAGTCAAACATAACATAACTTCTAAAGTAAAATTAGTTACATGTTCTCCATAGTCTCATTTTCTCTGTGCCACTTTCACTAATTGTTTCACCAGAATGTGTTTTTTTTGGGTTCTCTCTCCACTATTTTCTTGAATTCAGATCACCATGCCTTTTTATTTTGTTTTTTTCTTAAATTACCACTCGTCAATTTTGTGCTCAAAGGAAGAGCTGAGCTTAAATAACATCATAATAATAATCTACTAACACAGCTCCAAATCTAAACCAGTAATTCATATCAAATTTCATTTATTATTCAGAATCATCTGTAATTTTGTAAGGTAAAATTCACAAACATTAATTTTCAAGAGTCACAATGAATTACTTACTTTATCCATTACAGTCATCGATTGGTATAAATAACTTGGAATCACAGCTAATTTCGTAAAAGGAAAAATCATCAACCATTTCCTTTTTACTTCAATGTTGCATTACTTGCTTTTCCATACAAATTTCTATATCAACCTCAAGGTTAAAATATTGAAAATTCCTATGAAATGTAGTTTTTTTTTCTGTTGAATATTTTTCAATACCCCTCTCCACTAACCTGTTTAGCTTTGTTATAGCTACTCCAAGTCGTCCTCCTTCTTCTAAATCACCATTTACTGTGGTTTCTGAACCAAAAACAACAGCACCCTGTAAGTCTTTGGATGTTTAAATCCTTTTTTCATGCGCGAACAACTGAAACACATGTGTACTCACAATTTATCTTCTCTAGAAACAATTTTACGCTGCACCTCTTCAGCATGTTTTACATCTGACATACATGTATCAGATATACAGAGGGGTTCTTATCTCGCTAAAAATCAGTGTGCATAAGTACAAGAAAAACATTAAGTCATTTTTAGATATGGTAGCTAAAACAGAAACAATTACACAATTATTTGCTAACAAGAGCAGATTTCTACCTTGGCTAAATTCACTTGAATACTCTTGTGTTATTTTCACCTAGGTTAGAAATAAGAAGAGAACAAAAGACCTCAATGATTGAAAGAAAAAAAAAATGAAAAAGGATGTCTCAAAAGAAACTATGCTCTTGTCAGATGGGAGTGACAGAATTTGTCCACAGTAATAGGACAATGACAAAGTTAACTTGACTTGAAAACCAAATCTGAAAAAATGTGATTTGTTGAGTCTCTCCCTCTGTGATGGGTGAATCCCTTATTCCACCTTTGTCAAACATCATCCATTCACAAATGGCATTCATGATTCATCGTTCAACCTATCTCGTTTCACTTCCTTTGATATTCTCCACATGTACACTACCTTTCACCCTGTTACCTTCGTCATCTTCAGCCAGTAATCTTGCCATAACCAAATATCAAATTCTTAAAAATGGTGAAAGTTGCATGTCCAGTCTCTGAATGTTCCTGATTTCTTTGAATCCGCTTCTAGCTTCTGTGAAACCAACTGCACTAACTACTCCTGGAGCAAGTAAGTTCACCTGTGCAATGAAACAATTTAAGGGGGGCTTACTGATCAGAAGGAAACAAAGATAACTGATTCACTTAATGCTACAAAATTGTTTGGCTTTGTATTTGCTTTCAATCTTTAAATGACCTTTCACAGGGTAGCTAAGATCTAACACAAAAATTCTTTAAGGCTTTGATAAATTGAACACAAAATATATATAACAAATTTTAGAAGAAACTTATGTGGCTAATTAAGAATGAAATGCAAGAGTACCAGAGAGAAAACCATCAAAAGTTCTAATCTGCAGACTAAGAATCAGTGGTTAGTTACTGTTTATCAATCGTAACTATCACCTTTCCTAGGGCATGTTTCATGTGTACATGTATAAAATAAAGTTAAGTTTACCCTTTAACACACCACTGATTTTAAGCTAAATTTATGAGCCATAGTTTTTTTCAAACATTTATACAATTCTATGATGAGAATTTGGATTGTCACGTATCTGTGAGGATGACTACAATGTGGAAGTATTTCAAGAATATCAAAACTTTGTAAGTTAACCCTTTCACTCCCAAGATCTATTTAGTAATTCTCCTTACTATCTGCCATACAATTCTTATGATGTTAGTTCAGAGAATTTGGTATTGGATCAACTAATAATCCCATGATTGATATTCTTCTCTATTCTCATCACCTGCCTGCTTGATATTGTATTGATATTGTGAGGAGAAATTCTGTCTTGGTCACTTGTGGGAGTGAAAGGGTTAATGACCAGTAGGTTCTTTAGCTTCTAAAACAGCCTCTTAAGCTTGAATTAAACTAAAATATATGTTTAAGTTCATTTTAATCTCTTGTTTTTGAAAAATATTCACTTTAAAATATCTTAAAAGCTGACATTATAGGTTGACAGGAGTATACTAATATTTTGCTAGATTAAAAAGTTTTAGGATTTATTGTTAAAATATCATTTTAAAAATTATTGCAAAGCTTGTGTTGGTAAATTAGTTATAAGTACCTCCTCTCTCAAGTAATAAAAGTTTTATTAGGTACACAGTAGCCAGAAAAGGGTTTCCAAATACTACAAAACTACCCTAATACACCACTCAGAGAAAATTAATGCTAACAAAATCTTTTACAGTAAATAATATTCAGCCTTACTTTTTGAACAAAACAATAACATTTTTATCTACTCACAATAAAAATACAATATCCTGTAACATGCTAACCCTAGTGATATAATCATAATCACCTTGTAATAAACACTAACCATTTGGCTAATATTGAAATTTATTGCAAAATTGCAATATTCAAATAATTAAAAGTCTTTGCATTTTGAAGGGAAATAACATACAATGAACTAATCTGATGCAATGCATATAGATTGCATCTAATCTTCCACTTAAGCAAAGTGAAAATTTGCAAAATCAAACCAGCAAATCTTGGCATGAAGTCTTGAGCTGGTTTTGAACTAAATTCTACATGATTTTGAGGCATTTTACATCAATGCCACTTGTATTTGCAGCTTATTATTTTGGTGGTGAAGAAGACATCTTTATGTGAGCCTGAGTGCATCATCCACCTGCACAAGAAGTACTCAGCATGTTTGTCAGTACCATCTGCAATTTTAAGAAAATCTCCATAGTCTCTTCAACGCAGATGTCTTCTTAAAATGGAATCATCATTAGCTGCTTTCTTCAGTATTTCAATTTCCATCGCTGTGTTAATTTTTCAAGAAAATGAGGGGTTTTTCTTGTAAGCAACTGTTCCTTGGCATTTTCCAAGAGATCTCCCGAAATGAATCTCATTATTCTAGGGCACCCACTAGCATTGCAAGATTAATGAGCATTCAAAATTTATTCAAGAATCAAAATGAAACAAAAGGCAGAATTTTACACAAGCTTCTCGAAGTTAAATAGGGATTGGCAAACCTAACATCATACTAACAAAACCTTCTAACCACACTTTGTAACAAACCAAACCTTACGACAAAACTGACCGAATATTGTGGCGGAAGAATTATTGGAAGTTTAAGAAAAATTTATCAGAACAACTTACTGTTTAAAAGTTAGGATTTCGCGTATTCAGGTATTGAGAAACCCTTCAAGGCCACTGGGTATCTTTACAACAGTATGCATAATTAAGTACGTCTTAAAATGATTTATAAATGTGCATGTCACAAAGTTTAATTTCGAAATCGACTTCTTGACTTTTCGTATCAAAATTTTAATATTTTGTTTCCTTGTCGCAATTTTCCCAAACACCCAAAACCCTCTGGGTTACTGCATATAGTTCGCTGTAGTATACTCTAACTTATCCAACAACAGCCATGGGCCCAGACGACACGAAAACATCATCATCTTACCTCAACATTAGGAAATTTTCAGATTCCGCCATTATGAAATTCCCAGGATGCAGTTCTATCAGCAATCGACACGGGGATGGGTGAGGAATTATTCGCAAAATTGAAGAAGATAATCCTACGAAGGAACTCGGTTTTATAAAATTTTTCATCGCCTTTTTGTTTATTTCGACGGGGCTTGGACTTAGTAACATACTAACCTCAACGATTTTCTACTAACGAAGAGTTCAGTATGGTTAACATGCACGGAGTGAGCATGCTGTGGTCTCACAATAGTGGTTATGCTGTGGCTGTTCAAGAGAGAGTCAGCTTTTTTTTTGAACAGAGAAGAAATATTTTTTTGGTTCATTTTCTTTTACTGTAGTGGATCCCAAAGTAGGAGCTCGTACTCAGGAAGGCCTTGGATCAGGTGCTATCGCCGGCATAGTGGTGGCTGTCATACTCATTGTCCTGATCACTATCGATCTGTTCTGTTGCTTCTTCAATTCCTGCGGGATCATCTTCTGTTGTCACCAGGCCTTCTGCGGAGGCGGCGGCAGCGATAAAGGTGTCAAGTCTGGCAAGAACGACTGTAAGTATTAACAGGACAGTTCTATAAAGTAAATATGATTGGGTGTCCAACCGTTAAAGCAAATATGTTACCATCTTTTTTTGGTCAAAATAGCGTCACAGAAATTCTTTTTTTTCCCTTGATATAATCGTAAACTGAGGAAGCAGCAATGATGGTAAAATAGGGGAAAAGAACACCAAAATGGAATGAAAAGACCAAAAAGAAGCAAGGATAGCGACGAACAACAAATGTTCTCGTGGATTGCAAATACAAATTTGTGAGAAATTTTTTCCAAAATGAGCCAAACGTGAGATAACTATTTCAAGTAAACCTGGAAATTAACTTAGAGCAATTTCTGCAAGTCTCCCTCCCTTCCTATGCTTGAGCCATTGATGTGTCCCTAGTTTCCTTTATATTCGTCACTTGGATTCGTCACGTAACGCCCACACTTCCCCACTCAAAGAACACGTTGCGTGACAAGACACGTTACGTAACAAGTCCCTCTTCCTCAAGTCACGACATCATCATTCTTTCAGCTTTTTTACAAATGCTGCATTAACACAGCAGGTCAACGACAACTTAACCAAAAGCAAGTCAAAGCCAAAATTTTCATATTTACTAGAACTGATAATAAGAATAAAGAATGTACTCTTCTTTTTGTCTAATGAACAGATAAAGATGGAAAAGCCACCGAAATGGAAAAGTGAGTACTATCTTTCCTATATTTCGAATTTTATTCAGGATTTGAGCATTCAGCCATTACAATTTGTGAATTATGTTGTGTTTCTAAATCATTTTCTCTACCGTTTCAGGAAGCCATTACCGGAAGATGTTTAGCTACTGAGCCAGCGTTCAGTTGATACAGCGGTAATCATCGGCACGGTCACGGGGACACCGGCGAAAACTTTTACTTTTCAAGTTCAATCGCTTTGTTACTTCAATAAAAAGTTAATTAGTGACAATATTAGACGATGAAAGACATCGTTGAGAACATTTTTATGAAGAGTATTTGTGGTTAACCATTTTGATGTTATTATATTTTGCTGCTTACACAGCTATGATTTTGCTGCTGCATGTGAATTATTTTTACTTTGGTAAATTATTTCTGTATGTTGTATTTTTTTTCTTTATTTCGCTATTGATACTTGACCCTTTCAGTTGAAAGGTTTTCCTTTATTGCAGATTGTAGTCTTTGTTGAGTAAACCAACCTACCATCCGTAATGTTAAACCAAAAAAACGTAGACATGTTAGTGCAATTGAAAATTTCCAGTTAATCTGAAAAAAAATGAGGCCTCGGAATCTTCATAATTGTTTCAACAATTAATGGTCTTTAAATGGCACATTACCGCACAGAAGACTTCTACTTGACCTAATTCCATCGTTTAGCACAAATAGGAACTTTTAAAAAACTCTCGAGACTGAAAATATTAATTATTACCTTCCAGATTCCTAAACAAATAGCTTCGTAGCTCTGTCGCTTTCAAAATAATCATAGGTTGAAGTAGTTGTGATTGAGGTATGTTCCTTTTCCATTTGGTAAATTAATATATAAAAAAATAAAAGATTGGTTTTTAATGCTTACCTGTACAATTTATATTGCCACTACTATTTTTTTTTTATGGAAGAGTAGAAGCGCTTTTCGTTATAACATGAAAACATTAAATCAGATGCTTTAACGAACGAAGAGCCTCTTTGGCAGTTGCGATGATTTTAATGAAAAGTATACTTAGTATAGTTTCGAATTTTAGTATAATAATTGTAGAATTGTCTTCTTTTCATAAACCATAGAATTTTTTTAGATAACAATGTAGTGTTGTGCCTAAATATTTTATTTTCTTGGACAAGAAACAAAGTAAGTATCATTTAATCTTACGAAAAGGCCTCCTGTTTAGTGCATCTAAGAACGAAATACCATTCCTGTAGTAACTTATCAGCTTGCGAATAGCGCATTCTTTGACAATTCAGCTATTTAACAGCTTGTCACGTGATATTTGTCACGTATCTGTGTGAAATAAAAGTTTCAAAAAGTATAAAATAAAACTAGATCCAAACACGATTTTTATAGTGTGTTTCGGTACCTCCAACAAATCTCTGCAACCTGTACACCTGCTCATTCATGTACCAGATATAGAGTTTTTTGACATAACATATCAAATGTCATACTCACTAACGTAATTCTGGGATAATTTCAAAAACGTGGTGTGCAATCTAATGTATATAGTTGTTTAATTGTATGGTTTGGAATATTATTCTTCATCAGAACTTATATCCAAAACATAACGTTTCTCATTTTACATGCACGAACATTGCACACACTATAAACTTCACGATACATCACACTTTGCGCATGGTACATCACCCACTCAAAAATGGATAGACGAGTAAAAAGTGCAATGGATGTAATGCTATAAAAGCATATCTGGAAACAGTTAAACTTTTGTCGAAATTAAAATCTCTCATTCACGACATAACGTGATACAAGCAACACAGAGGTAGTAACTCTAACCCTAATAAAATCTAACCTTTCTAACGGAGATGACCGAAGTAAAACTTCTCCTATTTGACTTAATGACCACTTACCTTTAATTTATCTTCTTTGACCTTATAATTTGTAGACTACCATTTTACATATTTGAAAATAATTCAGTCACTACGTTTCATCCACAAAAATCCTGCACTTTGGGAAAAGTTCTTTTCCGAAGACTTGATATTCCAAACTAATTCTAAATCGGGGAAAGAATGCCGTTTTCCTCAGCTAAATGGAACAATACAAGAAAGAACAAAATACCAGGTAAGTCCCATTAAAGAAAAAACTAGCTTGCAGTGCAGGCGTCTTATTAACGCGAGCGATCGTTTATCCGGCCGTCCATGTTTGATTTGGAGTTAGAGTGGACGGTAGGGGTAGGGGGCGGGGGAGGGACAAGAGGACTTTGCTTCCCCACCCTCACCTCTCTCCTTGTTTTTGACCGTCTACCACCCTCTTAGTACAAATTTTTTTTTTCTCCCCAGCCTTCCGCTGCCATTAAAACTAAAGATGGCGGCAATAATTTTCGTCAAGAAAATACTGATCAATCGCTCACCAAAATTACGCCTGCTCTGTGGGCTAAAATAAAACAAGCGTGTTATCTGGTTCTTTAAGCTCCTAAAATATTCTGCTCCTCCGAAAGGCGTATTTGGTGGAAAATGTTTAGGCTGGGAGTTTAAAGAGATATTAAATTTTTCAATAATTTGTTTTTCAGAAGTAGGGCAAATCCATCTAAATATGATTACACTATAGGTGGCATACAATAATTTAGCTTCCTATAACCATAGATGTACTAACTCTGTTTTAACCACCAAACTTTACCTAAATGCACAAAAAAATAAGGCTTTGCTTAACTTGAATTTCATGACAACTTAAATCGTTGTTAATACAACAATATATCCATACTAACCACACATGCACATCTGACACTACACCACTCTAACTAAAGAATATCTTGATTACACTATCACTGCTATCTTCTAATATTTTAAAAAAGTGTTACTTATTTGTTTACTTAGCATATACAATACTATTTTGAGAATTTTTGCGTTCCATTTCTTATCAAACACGATCATTTACAAGATTCACTTTACCCAACAAGGCCTAGTCGTTCGGAGGCCTATTAGCACTAACCCAAGGTTAAATTTTAACCTGGGTTTCTTTATTCTTCTATTCACGAGTTCTTTGGGGATAATTATTTGTATCCTTTTAGAGCATGCAATAATTATATTCTAGAAAAAAAGAATTCGACTGAATTCTTATTACAGCTTCCAGATCTGAAATCAGATTTCACATCAACCCTGGGTTATCTTAACCCAGCTTTGAACAACCTGGTCTAGGGTTATGGGTGTTGGTAGAATCTCTTATCACGGCGGGTTCGTCATCAGCCTCGTTTGGAAATTTAGGAGTATGCTCAGATGTTTTAGTATCATTCATTCAATGAACTTAAATCTACACGCGCTGCCATTGATCGTTGCCTTAGGTCTATAATTTGACAAGCACACAGCTAACGTCATTAGAAAGCTATTCTCTTTCGTTTGTCAAATCAGCTCGCAGGCGAAAATTTTCCGTATCATATAATAAGTGAGTGCTTCGCAAGAATTCCATTCAGGAGCTATTAACAGACGACTTAGTTTGACTTCAGTGTAGCCTAAAAAGCGACACCATTCGAAACAGAACACTGAAAGATAGTTCCAAAAATTGAACTTCCGGTTCATTGTATAAATGAAGATTAAAACACCTTCAGTTTGAAGGGCACTGAAAATTTCAGTGATACTTCACGCTGAAACACCCCGTTCTTCCAGTCTGAGCTGATTCTCTTTGAGGAATAGATTCGTTATTTCACTTGCGAAAGGAATCCTAGTTTCGCTCAGTATTTGAGGTTACAATATATTGACAATAACATGGTTATTCGTTCTTGATCTTTCAGGTATAGTCGCAAAAGTTTTCAATAAACTTGGACCAGGCGCCATCGCTGGCATTGTGATCGCTGGGATTCTCATTGTTCTCATCGTGATCGATCTTTTCTGCTGCTTCTTCAACAAGTGTGGAATCTTCTTTTGTTGTCAACAGGCCCTTTGTGGCGGTGGAGGAGGCGATGGAAAGAAAGACGATTGTAAGTCGAATGATTTCATAGAGGAACTTCGTCGAAGTATTGAAAGTTTCGGGATTGTATCGGTTTTGCTTTGCTATACGCGCTATGATTGGTATAGAAAACCCACACCTCTGTTTTAACACTTATTTAATATTTGTTCAGAGAATTTAGTATTGGATTAACTAATTATCCCCAGATTGATATTTTTCTTTATTCTCATCACTTATCTGGTTGACATTATATTGATAATGTAAGGAGAAATTCTGTCTTGGTCACTCATGGGAGTTAAAGGGTTAAGGTCAATCATGCAGAAGTGAAGTTGAGGGCAAGCGTGACCTAGTCAGTAGATTAATATTTTGCCGTCTACAAAAATCGTACAATCCTTTCTTTAGCTTAGTTGTGCTGTTCAATTTCTCTATTTTTGTTGGTTTTTTTCAATTGAAGACTATGTAGAGCATTTTTTAAAACTATTTGTCTCCATTTCCCCATATAGATATGGATGGGAAAGCCACGGAAATGGAAAAGTAAGAACAATATTTGTTTGTCTATTTTTTGTTCAGTTTTTATGTCTCAGTGGTTCGTTTTAACTTAGTATTGTCAACATTTTATCTTCCAGGAAACCAATTGCCGAGAAAGTGTAGATGGAAAGCCTGCGTTTCAGAATATCAGCATGTACTTCCGGTGCAGCTTGAAGTTTGAAAGGGATTTTTAAGCAACCACAATGGCAACACTCAGAATTATATCTAATAGTATTTTCATTATTTTTTACTTCAACTTCAAAATAAGAAAAGTTAGCTTTTATCTTTAACAGGAGACGAATTTAGACCCTTATTAATTCACACGAGCTTGAAAACGTTTGTTTTCTTTCTGTCAGTAAGCCTACCGGGTCCAACTGTCCACAACAAAGAATTTTAAGAAATGTTTAAGAAATGCTAAAGAAATGTTTTGCTGTTTTCACGTAAAAGGATTTGAACCACTCTTTCATGGATGGGGCCCTGGAAATAATAAAATGTAAGGTACATGCGCAGTTATCGCCCATGAAGTTTCAAAGGCATTTCTTGTGACGTGTTAGCAGTCTCTGCATGGGCAACTTATCACACTGTCATGCCCGTTGCCTTCGTAGCTACCTCAACTCTCTTCAGTTACATGTGCATCATCTTCATATTCCAGCTTAAGAAAGGCTGATTGCTATCATAAAGACTTCTTCTTTTACTTGGGGGTAGGATAACCCTACTCACGGGTAATTTACCCCCCCCCCCCCAAGAGTAACCTTACCCCCCTAGGATAACCTTACCCCCATCTTGCATATAAAACGGACCGGAATAGGGAAGCTTTCGGGTTGACCCTAGGGATAGGGTCACCCTTCTCCGTTCCTAATGGAACTTAAAAAAATATGTGTTATTTTTAAACGTTTAAACAAGTAATTCTTGGTTCTCCTCCATGGTCTGGGTCTTATATTTAGAGCTTTTTCCGCAAATTTAAGTTGCATTAATACTTGATTGTTATATTCCTTTCTAGTTAATATAATTTTTCTCAAATAAGCTTGTTGTGTCTATGTAATTTTAGAAATGACATCATTTCAATTAGGCATTTTATTATTGGTATTTCGTTTTCCCTTTAGAGCATAAATTTCTCAGAGTAATTCAAACAAATTTTGAAAAAGACTGAAAAAATTGATTTTGCGTTGAAAGAGTTTTCAAAAGTTCTTTTGAAAGAAAAGTTACTTGAATCTTGGGAGATGATAGAACGTGGTTCCTTGCGCATGCTCAGAGACTCCAAAGGATCTCGAAAATCAAACGTTTCGCTCCATCGTCAAATTCAATGGGCATGCGCAGTAAAAAACTATTTTCGATTCCTCTATATACTTGTACCCGTGCTGATTAGCTTTTTTTATAAGAGTCTTTTTTTTCAGTGTAATATCTGACATTATTTAAGAAGGAAAGTCAGTAAGATTTTGTCCAAAGAGGTTCTTGCCTTTAAACGGGAGGGGGGAAAGGGCAAAAAATCTACTGTAAGTGGAATGGTAATTTGTAAGAGAATTGTTGTTTCAATTTTCGTCCTCTTGGTATTCTTGTTGTTGTTGTTGTTGTTGTTGTTGTTGTTGTCATTTGTTATATCAAGTGTGTGTAATAGTAAATGCTGTAAAGCTTATAATAAAATATTTCATAGTATTTTTAAATTTGTTACTTGATGAATTCAAATATACTTAAAAGCGACAACTACCCCTCTTCCATTACTAAGAATTAAGTTGCAGAGGTCAAATTTGGCCTCAGTACCATGCCAGATCGGCGAGAAAATAATGGTGGAGGTCCGGGAGGGAAGAATTAGTCTTCCGCCGTTAGTTTATTCCGCTCGCACCAACTTTTTTGATCGTTTCAACTTACTAGAAGCCTGGAACGAGCCACAGTTTTGGAAGGTAACGGTGGTGTTGCTGTGCTAATTATTAGCAATTCTGTGATAGCATAGGACAAGAGAAAATAATGGGATCCCTTATTTCCTCTTGGTTTGGCTGACCTTTAAATCACAAACAAGGTCGTAAAATATTTCGTTTCAGTTTAATTTCCCCTGCCTTTTCTCTTTATGGCTGGACTTGTTGATCATAATGTTTCTTTCGCTATCTAATCAACGGACTGACGTAAATCAGGCCGTTTCAAAAATTGCTAAGGAAAACATAGTCTTAACACAAAATTTCAGTGATCCTATTCTTGTTTTGATTTTGAGTGATTGCTACGCGCTAGGTTGTTAAATTTCATTGGCTAATAACATTTCCCCTATTTCAATGGCTGCTGAACTTTGCGATTTAAAGCTGCTTTCGGGCATGTCACGCCATACAGGTCAAATCAGGCAGATTCACATCGGCATCAACCAAATTAAGCAATAAATCAGGGCAGATCGATAACATCTGAGTAGTTTGGTCCTGTAACTGAAGTTAATTAATAAGAACGGTATGAAACAGCTTCATAAAGACTGTCTGTTGAAGGTCAAAAATAGAGGACCACCCACTCTTTTAGAATGTCAGGAAATCGACAGATGAACAAAAGCTATTTAAACATCATTAGCGCACAAGATTTAAGAGATAATTCACACCCACACATTTTTTTTTTTTGGGTTGAATTTTTACGGAACACCGGTTGAAAGCACCGGCCCTACATATGTGAAGTTCAGTGTGTTTATCTCATTGATGAAAAAATGATAGCGAGTTAATGTCATGGCAAGCAACACGACCATTGTTTTTTTTAAGTTCCTTATCTATTTAGTTACGTGTCCCATATTTGTCGGTTGCAAGATCTTCAAGACTCCTACATATCGATTTTTACATTATTTTTGGGGGGTTTCAGATGTTGTTCCCATTCTGTAAACAGCTTCTAACGATGTAAAAAGGGAGAATGAGAGTTTTCACCGCCCCTAATTCCCACGACCCGGGTGAGAGCGTGTTTTGTTAACCTATCTTCAAATTTTACGTTCTCACGGCGATATAATACCATTATTTTTTCTAGCTGTCCGATTATCTAATCAGTTCAGTTTAGCGCTATCATACACTTATCTGAAATTAAAATAATAATTTAAAAATGGTATTACTTCTAACAGTTCTTGCCAAGGAGTCAGAAATGTTTTATCTCAATAAGACTTGTCTTGTGATATCTCTGTAAAGTTGCCGTAGAAGCACGGGCGGGGGGGGGAAGGGAGGGAGGGAGAAGAAAGGAATGGGACGGGTAGGGGTGCTAAAAGGATGATTTGAGCTCTCCAAAAGCAAAGCAAGGGGGAATTTTACGATAGGGAGAAAAAAAATCGAAAACCAAGAGTTTTGGGGTTTAAGCCAGACCAAAAGATGCCTCAATAAAAATCAAATTCAGAGGTGCCATTTTATATTTCCAAATTTAAAACTAACCAAAATGTCTTATATCACAATAAAGACTACATGAACGCATAAAATCTTATCTTAAGTTCCTTACATTTGGTTAAGAGAACTGCAAGACCTTGAGTTCAAGCAAGAACATTACTAAAACATTGTAAAAGCTTATGCACCGATTTCCTTCAATGAGCGAACATTGAACAATATTCCTTACATAAAAAGCGCGTACATTCCACGTGTTACTTCCCAAAAACACTCTAACGTAAAATATACGGGCTCAAATCTCTGAAAAAACAACCTTTGTAAATTTTGAGTCTCCCAAGGTCATTATTATCCTCTTGGCATTACGAGCAACCATTGCCTTCCTCTCAACCCCCCGGATGATTCAATACCAATGTCCTCGAAGATACCATTTCAAGGCATTTTCTTTTAACCGTTGTTTGCTTTGGGAGTCAAAGGGCCGATTCATTTCACTAAGTTGCAGCCCTTTCTCGTTGTAAGACATAATTTGTGTTTTCATTGGAATTATCTTCCATTATCTAGAGGACTTAAACCGACATTTTGGTGCTAATCACGTTTGAACATCAAACTTGACCTCTAATATTTCAATTGTTTTGATCACTTCTTTTGTAAACAAGTATCCCCTTGACCAATCACATTAGAGAACCCAACAGAAAGTTTGGTAAACAAGATGAGGCGATTAAGGTCAATAATACCGTATTTAGGTAAACATGACACCAATTTGGACCTCCTTGCTTGAGGGAACTGCTTGGAAAGGGTTGAAGAACGTGGGAATAAAATAGGAAGTTGTTATCTTCTCTGTGCATCGGCCTCGTGCGGGAAATGTTTCTTTCGAGTAACAGCCACTCGAACGCCGTAAGACAAAGTTTATCTTCCTGGCCACGATTTTCAGCCTTTAGAAGACCGCGTGGAAGTTTTGAAAGACGCCCATGTCCCAAAAGCTTCATGATTGAAGACATTTTAAGGAAGGAAGAGCCAGTGAAAGGAGGATACCCTCGGCAAATGCGTGAGTCAACGAATGAAGTAATTTAGTACACAACACAGCGAATGTTCTTGGAAACTAACAAGTTCGTTAATGCTCAGCTTGTCTTTGCGCAAACATTCTACGTGACCAAACATTCAGTTAACTAAGAAATTATTTTTATAAAGAACCCTGTTTTATAAAGGAAAGACCAGAGGGCAATGCATTAGAATCATTTGGTATAAACTTTTAGACTGGCCCTCAGTCAAAGAAACAGTTAAAATTTTAGTATTGCGCATTAAATATTAATTTTCCCCTCCATGTACGTAAACACACAAATATTGTTGAAGAGTAAAATGTCATTGCTCTTTGTCGAAAAGTATTAAATGACACTTGCTTCGAAATTAGTGGTCAAATTAGTGTAATATCCTGTTAGGTTAAGATGAATGGATTGTTGCTTCCAAAGAAACGAAACTATTTTCCCCTCATGACTTAGAAGTGATAAGTGTATTTCTAAAGCCATATTATTTCTGACAGCTTGTCCATTTAATTTGACAATCGATTGTTTTTCCTTCTCAAACGTTGCCTTGTTCCGATTCAAACCCAGTAAAGATCTCCGTATTCACGACGAAAAAAATCAGTTCAATTTTTGTCCACCCGTTGAATGGTTACCTTGTTTTTTTTAGAACTAAATACATTGACATCATGTAAATTTTCTTAGATCTCTAATTAGCCAGCGTCATTGCCTTGTTTTAAAAGATCGCCTTAAAATTGAGGGATTGTAAATAAATTTTATCGGCGGAAAAATTTTAGAGAATGATGGATAAGGAAAGTGAAACGCGGTTGAAACAGAAGCTGTTTTACGATTGAATCAGTCCTTCATTGTTAAATGATTTTGAGACCCTTGACTTCTCCAAATTCTTTCTGCAGCTCACTGGTTTGGCGGTCCTGTTGGGAGCGGATTCGTAGAGCCAGCCTGCTTCCGTGAAGAAGTCGACCTCTGTGAGTAAATGAAATCTTATTTTGTTTCCTTTTGCTTCAGTTTTGTCCTTGTTTTAAGCGCTACAGGATGTCTCTTTTAACGAGGTCAAGAAGCTCCTCCAACTGTAGCCGTTTTTCTTTGTTTTCTGTTGTCCGGTTTACACGATGGACTTATAATTTTCTTTCGGATGATTGTCTACACGGGCTAAATGACAGGAATTCAACAGAAACGCAAACGAAATTGATGACATAAACGCTAGAAACAGTATCAACGCGATGGAAAACCCCGCCTCACTTGCTTGAAGTTTCTTGGCAAAAATTTCAACCTTTGCAAGCTTAAGCGGGGAAATCAAAACCTGGCGACATTTCGTTGCCACACTTGCGATTTAGTGCTCTTTTTTTTTTCATTGTTTTCATCTCGTTTAAAGGAAAACTGACCTGTAAAGCCCGTAACCTAGAGAGAAATAGCATAAACAAGAAAATAAATAGTCAGACTGAGGGCTGTACACTGGCATAGCAAAAATTGCTATAAATTTTCATTTAGTTCATTTTAGTAATCACTGCAGTTTCGATTACGTATGAAAACGTAACCGCATTGTTGTCATGTTTTTAATGAAGGGCGAGTGCTGCTGGACGATATCCAGGCGAAGAGAGTTCTGGAGCGATTAGACAAACTGTATGCATTCATAATGTCGCAAGTTTCAGCTGTGAAAGGGTTACAAAGTTATTTTTAGTTATTTTTTTTTTATAGTCAATGAAAGGGACTTCGAGCAGCAACTGCGTAGCAACGACAACGTGTTGGAACAAAAGGCCTAATAAGCAGAACAAAAGCTCCGCTCGTGCGTTTTCAAATTTTGTCAATTTCCTAAACGTCCTCTGAAAAACAACAACGTGAAATTAATAAATTTTTTCTTCGTTTGGGAACTGAAATACAGAAGTAATTATTTCCATTTGTATTTGGGTTTAATCGCTGCCTTAACATAAGATCGGTTGCCTCAAGAGTTAGTGAACACATCGATCCCTTGGTGAAATTTACGGAAAAATTCAAATCAATTTTTTTAATTAACATTTTCCTTGACTGCTAAAAAGTCCAAATATTATTCAATATTTCTTTGGTAAGATGAAGAGTGATAGGCGGGCACCAGAAATATTAGAACGACGTTTATCTTATGTTTACTCAGGATCATATCTATAGAGTGCTTGATCTGTCTTGTTAACGACAGGCGCGTTATATTTGAGACTTGATGATAGACCGACATCAGGCGGCGCTATCTTGGATTGTGTTGTACACCAAATCGAGGCGTGCCCGTCCAGCCTCAATATGGCACGCGACACGATTTAGTGGCGAAGCGTGAGATCGGTGTATTGCTTGGTTTTTACAGTATCTTTTTAAAAATTCCTGATTACTGTAACTTATTAGACTATGAGCGCGCTGATTGCTGTAACAAATTAGACTATGAGAGCGAGATTTCTCTAACGCGTATCAGTCGACTAACTAATTAGCAGTCGAAGCTGACTAACTAACAAGCGTAGAAATCGAGAGCGAATAGTGTAATTGTCTAATCTAATCGTTCAAAACTTAATAAGACAGGCTCATGTTTTTATGGAATACTGATAAAAATAGGTAACACTAAATGCTATTGACTATTCGTCACGAAATAGAGAGGCTGTACCATAGTTCATCAAATTGCGCCTCTGAAATTAGTATGGTTCCGATTGCTGTTACAATCAGTAGCTTAGAGGAGGCCGTGACTTTAAGGTTAAACGCACACTCCTCAAAGATCGGTAAGAGTTTGGATTCATAGAGGAATACTAGGGATCTTCAGAATATGATCAGCTCTCGAACTTCTGCAACGTTCATTCCCCTTACATTTGTCCGTGTCGCAGCAAACGCACATCGCAGCTGTCCTTATAAACCAAAAAGAGCCAGGAGAGTCCTTGGATTCATGAAGGAAAAATCCAGATTCTTAAAAATGCGTGCATGCAGCATTTGGACCTCGAAGATTTATTAATACGTTAAGTTACTCTAAGCAAGCTTAATGAAGAGTTCACCTCGTGGACAACAAATCTTTATTCTGTATTTTATTTTATTTAATTCAGCGTCATCTGAACCAAGCCAAAGCAAGACCGCTGTCATTTGTCAAGCGCCAAAATATTTCCGCGCCATTTTAGACGAGAGCCGTCGTTTCCGAAGGACACGCACTGTGTTCACACGCGAACAGCTCAAGGCCATGGAAGATAAGTTTGATCAGGAAAAATATCTCTCCACTCACGGCAGAAACGAATTTGCACGTCAGCTGAAACTGACGCCTCTGCAAGTCAAAACCTGGTTCCAAAATCGTCGAATGAAATGGAAGAAAGAGATGCTGAAGAAAGACCCAAAGGCAGTCACTACGCGATCAAAAGGCCGCCCGAAAAAGGACGAGTTTTGATTCAGTGCGGGTACAAACGGAAGGATTGTCAGAAAGGAGAACTATTAAAGTTGTCGTTCATAAAATTTTGTTTTTAAGAGTCCGTAGTCGTATTCTATCTGTCCCTTGACGCATGTGCTGACAGCGACATTATACTTTTGCTTTCCATAGACAGTGATGACGTATTCTGCAACGTTCCCTATAACTGGCACACGTATTCAGCAACGTTCCCTACAACTGGCACACGAATCTGACGACGCGCCTTCTCGAACGTCGACAGTCCTGAGAAAAATCCTAATTTCTAACAAAACATTTGCGTTGGGTACTGCGGTGTGTTGCATTTTTGGTCGATAAGTGTTGATTTTTGTAAGTTTAACAAAAAATGTCCTTATTTGAAGTAAACCGTCGGCAATATTAGCAAAATGAGTGTATAGTAGTATTTCAATCACAAAACAGTTTTTAAATAATCTCAATTATTTATTACAATATGAAACAAATATCTCCTCCAAAAATTAAAACTATACATTTTCCAGGTAGATAACAGAAGCACTACAGATTCATATGGATCTCTATGATCCTCACTGAAGTTGTGCCATCACCGCAAATGCTCTTAGAGGTGGTTCACTTTCTGAGTAACTTTGTTTAAATTTGTGATACGATAGAGTTCATTGTGTGAAAATTAAAGAGTCATCCGAAAGTATGAAACTTGAATTACCAAAGAAAAGAACGTATTTAATGGATGTTTCAGCACAAAGAGCAAATTCCTCTTCATTACTTGATATTGAAAGCTCGAAGAGTGTGTTAGAAATGTGAAGATGGCAATATTTCCCTCAGTTATGGATCTTCCTCGGCAGATTCTTGAATCTCTGCGGGCTTCGTTTCTTCTTTTAATTTCACTGCAAGTAAAGAACCAAATTTTAAATTTCCATCCCATGAATGTCTACCGACTTCCAACACTACGTCACGTACTAAAACCAATCAGAGCACGTCAAAACGTGACACGTAAATAGGGATTCTACCAGTTGGTGGGGAAGGTGAGGGACATTTAGCTGTCTTGTCAAGCTAAGAACCTTGTTATGGGAATCAAGAATCCTGTTCGGCTTTCACCATAGGGTGTTATTTTTGTTTCGTTTTTCACTTTCCTTAAAGATATTTCTCCTGGGGCTTGAGAAACCACTTCTCTAAATAGATATCGTTTCCTAATCTGATTCTACCCTCACAGGAGAATATTCTCTTGACCCTCATCAACTCAACCAGCACAAGTAGAAATGTTTACTTACGAGTTTATTTAGACTACATCTAGGGAAGAAGTGTATTTGTTGAGTTAGCTGGGACGTGCCAACTGACTATGAAAATTGAGAGTTTTCGGAAACACAGCGGTTAAACGTCGGGCATGCGGTAGTGGATCAATTTTCGCAGGGCGCGCGCCAATTTCCCTCGTAAAATTTTAAAGGAAAAGATAACGAGCATAGAAATGTGTAAATGGAAAAAAAACTAGGAAAAAGAAATTTACAGTTTACTTACATTTGCCATATTTTTTGTGTTTGTTCCTGAAACGTATACATTTTTTCAGGACTCCCTTGTTTTTCGTCACGAGACATATGACGTCAGCAATAAGCAGAAACATTGCAATGGCTATAGACAGGATTATTACTGATAAGACCAGTTTGTCTGTGAATTAAACGGGGAATAATAAAGAAAAATTAGCACGTCTGAGGATGGAAAAAAAATGAAGATGGTGTTTAGTATGCAGGAAACACGCTGATCTAATAGCTAACGCGCCGGACCGAAGCCGAGTAATTACGTTTTGTTCTAGGTAAGACACCTTACTATCACCATTCCCTCTCCAATCTGGAGTATATCACGGGTAGGGGTAACCAGCCGCGGAAGCCCAACCAAATGAAGAGACTGGTTTCTTATTTAGGAGACGTGAAAATATTTCTCATCTCTGGTTGTCCCCATTGAAAACGCTCTACGTTGCGGGACGATATTCAGTAGAATAAAAATAATGAACTTTCGGGAAATAAAAAAATTTCACATGATAAATATTGATATTCATAAGGGGATAACTAGTGTCACCAAAAGTCAGGTATACTCTTGGAGACTGTAGACAGAGGGACGAGTAACGAGACCCCTGAATGTGGCAACGTAACAGTTACTCGAAAAAGAAGTAAAAAGACTCAAGGAAAATGGAGAAGAAAGGATCGAAGGATGGGACGAGACAGAAGAGTTTACCTTTTGGTTCCTTACAGTGCTTTCCATCGTGATTGTTAAAAGCGTCTGCGATCTTGTGTCCTGATTGGTCGACACACCAACATTTTTTCAAGTGGACAGAACATTGGATCATGTGATACGATCCATCATCATTGCATTTAGGCAAGAATTCTAGTCTCAGTCGGGGATCACCAGCCAACAATCGGTCTCTTTGGCACTGGGTGATGTCTAAGAGAAGAGAGTTTGAGTACTTTTCACGTGAATATCGAAAGTAATTTTGGAAAGCTTTACTTCGCTATGTAATGGCCCCAAAAAATTTTCGCTACCCTTTCAACAAATCCCATGTAAAATTAAATACAAATCGCGACTTAGTCACTCGCCTTTTGCCACATTTGAGACACGGTGTTTGATTTTCATTTGACTTCTAATTGGCTACTTCTCATATTTTTTGTTGTTCTTGTTAGCCGTACTTGTAACTTTGCTTTCTGGTAAATGCGCTCTAAAGATGGAAACAAGCTCGAGGGTTCCAAACAATTAATTCAGTTGTTGCAAAGTACTCACTTTTTGATTTATCCTCTCTTAGTTTTATTTTGATTTGTTGAAATCCCAGTTTGTTTCTCGCTTTGCATCGGTACTCTCCAAAATCGCTGTCACGAAAGGGTGTCACGCGTAACGTACTCAGCCTGGGTGAGTTCTCCACTTTCTGTACACAAAAAGCGCATTTATCCCCTAGCTTCTTTTTTCCCTTCGTCCAAATCACCTTAGGCGGTGGATGGCCGTCGTAGAAACATTTCAACGTGGCTTCTTGACCCAATTGAATCGCTTTAATTTTATCTGATCTGCTTTTGTCGATTCGAGCAGCCTTCTCAAACAATAGTGAGACTGAAAGGTAAAAAGAATTATTAAAAATTAGCCACAATTTTTCGTCAACGACAAGCCTATCAGAATGAAGCAAAATTCTCAGGGAACATCCTTACAAAAGGCGTGTAAACGTTGCTAGTGTAACAAGGCACGTATCCTTAGAATAAAATTAAACTGCTGTTAAAAATAGTCAACGGTAAAGGAGAAAAATAATCAGGAAGTTTATCGGTTTCGCACCACACCTTGTGATTTGTTCAAAACTCTTGTGGCATCCCTCTCGAATAATCAGATGAAAAAATTGAAACCACCAGCACTTTGCCACTCGTACTATTGGGTTCGCTTGTTTTTATTTTGAGTTCTCATTGGCTCTCTGTAATATTCCCCTATGTTCTGATTGGACCTTGCGATTTTACCTTACTTCGCAGTCTGATTGGTCCAGAAATCTTACGCCACTTTCTCAACAAATCAGATTCAAAACTGTAACCAGCCGCGACTTGGTCAATCGCGTTTTCCCGCGCTTCAGGCAGTTAACCTGTTTTTACTTTACTTATTTCTCGCCAATTTGTTGTAATCTTTTCCTTTGCCCCGATTGGTCGTAGTGTTAACTTTGGTCGTTGTTTTGACACCCAATTGAAAATTGTGCCAATTTGACTTTGGTTTTGCAACACTCAATCGAAAAGCGCACTGTAAACTCGAAAGATGCGAAATTGTCTAATCAAGGTTTTTTCTCTCACCTGGAGACAAACCACACAATAGCCATAAAACGAAAAGCACCACTTTCATCATGAAACCACATTAAGAAGGTGAGGCATCGAAGAGCAGAACCCTATCAGTAGTAGGCCAAATGCATCCTTTATGACGCAACAAACGCAAGTTCACAGTTTGCGTGCCCGCAGAACGAACCTCGCGCGTGTTCTGCGCCTGCGCATCACATAGTACCCCGATCGATCCATTGTATTTTGCAAAGGAAAGTCAAATTATGCCAAATCTCGAGAAACAAATTTATATCACTTGGGAGATCTTCAAAATAATAGATTTGAAAAGCCGAAGAGAATTTAGCACCAGTCTCGGAAACCGTGTCTCACTACGTCAGCTTGGAGCCATTCTGCAGTCACGTAATCGAAGCGAAGCGAAGAAAACTTCGCTTTAAAAAGTCACTTATATTTTTCTTTAGAATTTCGTAAATGGCTCTAAATGTTTACCTTCTCTATCAGCACCAGACCCCATCTTCTCTATAACCGTTGAAGTTAACGTTTAGTTCCAACAAGAAACTTGACTGAATAATTTGCTCCCGGTGAACTCGATCTCAGACTGCCCACAAGTTGGTAAGATCCGGGGGATGTTTTGCAGAGACCGGCCGAGAAGCGTCCAAAGGTTAAAAACGCACGTGCAAGCTATTGTTCCACTTCATTTCAAATTCTTTTGTTCGACTTGTTGTAGTTATGTCATCACCGTCTTGGTTTGCTGAAAGTTCCTGATAACGTTCTATAAATGATATGCGCATACGAGATTACTAGTCCTTCGCTAGGCCTGGCTAGGAGGGATGAATTTGACGTGCGATAGGAAGTCGTAAAAGGGGACTGAGGAAGACTCAATGGTATGAGGGGCGTATCTCTTCGTTTTCTGCCTTGTCTGCAGTGAGCACTTTAGCAAAAAGGGAACCAAAAAGAAGTATTTCAAGTGTACGATTCATGGCAGTCAACATGCGCGCGCCACGCGCTCAGAAAGATATGTTTCGATCCGCACACGTGTATAAGAACTACAGCTCCACGCTCCACAGGATGTGGTTGAAGTCTATAAATGTTGTATAGTATAGCCCCACTTACCGTAGGCTAGCCCGGGGCTATGGTTTAATTGGTTTCCTGACATTTTCATTAAATAGGAGATTATACAGCTGTTAGGGATATGACTAGAAGCGTCTGAAATGACTTTTAAAGTGCCATGACCTTCTCATTCGCGAAGGCATTTTTTCGAAACGCCAATTTAAGAAACGGAAGTTCCTCGCAGTTAGAAGCCCTGATCAAAAGAAAAGAGAGAACAACGGAGAACATAAAATCATTTGACGATATTAATTGTGAAGTGCAGTGACAAGGCGATAAGATCTTGACGTTTAAAATGAAATTCGCCTTGAGTATTAGATCAAAAGTCTTTACACCAACAAAACCCTGTTTAATATCGAGTCTATTACACTGACTATGGATTGTAATGGTAAGGCGACAAAAGTCCTTCAACAGCAGTACAGCGTCCAGGCAGAAGCTAAATATAACTGCAGCAAGACCTCCGAATCAAGGTCTCCTTTACCATCGCATCTAAACATACAAAAACGCAGATCAACGCGAGATGTAGCTGTCATGGCGTCTAATGCATTGACGGCGCCGATGGTAAGTGATGCCTGCGCCGGCTCGTCGCAGATTACGCACGAAAAAAAAAGATGCTAGCGATACGCCTAAAATATAATTACAACGCCTACCCACTCTAAGGGAGTATGGTATTAATCTATTCAATCAAAATTCTTTTGATCAAACGGTGGACAACCCAATATCACAAATCAACACATCACATCGCGCTGCAGGCGAAAATAAGATCATGATTCTCATTAAATCTGTAAGTGATGAAACATGATCTGTTTGCAACAGTAGACACTTGTCGACCGTTGCAGCGAGTTGCTGTGGTCAATCCCGTTACGATCGTTTTGAGTAGCTGTTGAGGCTCTCGTGGCGAGTTACGCGCGTCACGTTCGGGCTGCGTTTGTCATCTTTAATGCAAGTGCGTGGCAGACGCCTTAGTCACATTGAAACATGGACAAATCGTTTTCCACTCTTATTCCTAGCTTGATGAGCAAAGAAAGGACTGAGGGAAAGTCAGCGGTTTCGCCTCAACGTCCTGTTACCGAGAACTTCCTCGATTCACCTTGAGCCGACACCATCTCCTACAGAGAGCTATCGCGCGTGAGTTGGGGTCCACGTTGAGATGATCTCGTCACAATGTCGCGCATTGCTACATTGGATGCGCAGACTGGATACAATGTAATCTCGATTTCTCCCTTCTATTTTGAGCTAAAAGAAACCAGCTGGGTTACGTGAATCATTCATTTGGTGAAACATGAGATCTACCCAACTTCCAAAATAACTTTCTCACATAAAACCCATGGCATATGGAGGAAAGCATTTCCAAGTTGGCTCCAGGTGTTCGTGCTCTAACAGGCAGCCTAAACTTGCATCAACGAGGAAAAAGATAACTCTTTACAAGAAAAAACACTTTTCCCCCGCATTTTCCTGTGTAAAAAACTGTGTACCCTGTTTGTTTCTCCTCAACTGATTAAAAGCAAGCCTTTTCAACGGTCTGGCCTGAGACTTGAAAGGTAAACCGATTGTTTCACGCAACGAAAAACAAAGAAAACTTCATTTTGTTTTCCACAAGGGGGACGCATGTCTCAGCGTGAAACTGAAGTTAATGTTGTATGCCCTTCTAAGTGGGCACATACGCCAAATTCAAGAATGCCGTCAAATGAAATTAGACACCCTACAGAAACGTGTAGAAAAATCACCATTACTGAAGTCTTTCATTGGAATTAATCAATTCAAAAGGTCTTCTCTGCTTTCAATGATATTTTGAGATTTACTTCAGCTATTCAACTATCTAGTTATAAATATTTATATCTAATAATCTATTGGATATTGTGTCAAAATGCACAGTATCATCAAAACACAAAATCGTTATAATTCATCACTTTACCTTAGCTTTTGACGGTCAATTATCACTGTTGTTTATAATTAAACGGATTGTTCCATTTCCCAGAGAGGTTTGATTGCTGGTTCGATAACAGATTGTAATCCTGTTACTATGGCTGTCAATTAATTGTCAAACGTACCCGATCGTTACAAAGAAGAATCGATCGATGACTAGACACAGACGTTAAATCAATTAATAGCCTGTTGAAAAAAAGAGAAGGTGGGCACAACATCTGTAACATTTTCTTTAGAAATCGAATCGAACATACTTTTAAATTGCTGCTAATAACATGCTGCTGAAATCTTTTCTTTTTTTCACAATACCTTACAACATCTGTCATATCTCTGAAATTTTGCCGCGAAAGTGGCCCTAGATCAGCAGATCACTCGCATGACAACAAAAATATCGGCTTTTCTTTTACAACTTAAAAGCTAGACTATCAAAAAGGTACATTGATTAAAGTTTACTGTTATAATCTTAAGTAAACTCTAATTTCAGTTCTGTTATTTACAGAGTAAGCTTTTTAATCGATTATTTGATTTTCCAGTGGTGGATCCGCGTCGTCTTGTACTTTGTGTTCTTTCAACCATGGAAAGCGACGCTAACAAAATATTTTGGCCAAAACTAAACTGAATCGATGACATCCGCTCCGCGAAAGAAGCTGTGCACGAGAGCATTAAAAGAGAAAATAAAACTTGATTTTCTGTAGAATATACAGTACGTCTTGCCGTTACACGTTACTCTCTCACTATAAAAAGCGGGAATTTTTCTTTGTACAAACTCAAACATTGATTTGTCTGAAGGATAATAATCTCACGGAATTCGGTTTGCTGGATGTAAATTTACATCGTATGCAATAACCCACGAGAGAAGATTTTTAATCTCGACGCAGATAACTTGCGACCCAACTTTACGGTTGCAAAATTTCAGACAAACATTTTATTACGGTTCTATCAACGTCGAGCTCTCTTGGCCTCGTAAGGTCGCTTTATTACCGAAGTTTTGGCTCTTCTTTCTCTAGAATTTCTCTGTTTCACGCAATTACCTAGAAGGAGAGAAAAATAATCTCTTAACAACTTCGCTTGAAATCTGATTGACCGTCTGTGTAACTTTAAGTATTAATAATGACACAAACAACAATTTAAAATTCACCTGCGACTTTTTTGTTTCTATTTCCAGCCGGCGCATCGCCAAACTCTCGTAAACGTTTCCGCGAAGGGTCGATCGGTACGAAACCACTCCTTGGAATGCTTTCCCCTTCTCTGCCTCTAGTTCTTAGATTATACCTTGCGGCAGAGTGGGTAGGATCGACAATGTTTTGGCGACAGAAATTTTCGGAAGATTCCGTGTCACACGTAGAAATTCCTTCAGTTGGCGATTTACGGGTTTGTAGTCTCTTTCCAACTCGCTGCCACTTGAATCTACCTGAAAGCGGTTGACAATTCTCAAAATCAAAATTCCACTGGCATTTCTTTTCTTCTGACATGTACTTTAACTCTCTGGCTAAATCGTCTCGAATTTGCTTATGATCAACTGTTCCAAAGAGGTTTCTCTTGACGTCTTTGACGCGTCCCCTACCCGCGTCACGACTGACGCTAGTCATAGTAGAGGATTAGTATTCCAAAAATCGGGTGCAATACAAGTTGGCTTGTAGCGATTCTCTTCGAGCACAAACAGTAATTCTACGCTTTGCTCGACTCGACAGGTAGGTAAACCTTCGTAAGATGTGATTCCATTCACCAAACTTCCTTAACTTGCAATCCAAACGAGAAAATAAGCGTAGTAGATGTTGCGTAGCGATGGCGTCGCTCTGTCAAAATCTTGCTCAACGGTAGTATTTTCTATCTTCCCTCGAGAATCAATACTTTTCCGCCAGAGGCACAATTTCTATTGCGATTACAACCAAATCAAGAATGCTGGATTTTTCCAAATTCCACAAACACGAAGTATTAAATAATTCTGTGGCACAAATTGTTTATATTAATTGCAGGGACGAAAAAATATAAAATTTGTAAGCGTCCCTTTACTAGAATCCCGCCACGCCGTAAGAGGCCACGCGAACAGATTAGCCCGAGATTTACTCCCAGCCAATTAAAACTTGTAACGTCACAGTTCTATCTATTTAAAGTGACAGATATGACAGCTTCTGTACAAAGCAGTCTTTGTTCTAAGGTTTTGTTTACAGTTGACGCCGTCAAAAAAGCAACTAGGAAATTGACTTTTCGAAGCTATAATCGAAAAACACGGATGTTTTTGATGGGGTTGAAAAGAATGGTAACACTTTAGGGTAATTACTAGTGAGATTGCTGTTTGAAGACAATAAAAACTCGTCCGTTTAAGATGGGCGCCAATGGAAAATAAAGCGTCGTTTGCAATATGATATCTGCTTTCAAGCAACACATCTGGTCTAATTCGAAGTAGCGCGAGTTAAAAAATCTTTGTCTTTATTATTGATTTGTAATTCCGAAAATTGGTTAAGATTGAGCATCTGTTTGCATAAGCAATTCCGTGAGATTTCGACAAGATGTTGCTGAGAAAAATACTCGATGAAAAGTGGACGGTTGACACGATTTGACATGATGCAAGCTAGCACGGGTTTTTGTCAGGCAGAAATTGGGTGTGAACGACATCAATTCACACAATTTGCGGAGTCAATATTATTTGATTGCCTTTACACCGTATTTAAAGTTATCGATTGCGTAACGCAACCACAGAGAACTAGATTGTCTAACTAGTCATGCGCTAAGTTCAGAATTTTGTCTTAAAATGATAAAAATTGGTAGTTATGAGACATAATTTGAAGCTCAAAACCCTTGAACAACTTGTACAAAATGACAAATAGCAGTAAGTGTCTGTATTCTCTTATCAATTGTTCTAAAAATGATTGATATCAAAAGGAAAACAACGTCACTGGACAGTGGCGAAATGTAAGTTGTTTATCAAAAACAAACACTTCAACGTAAAAGTATTTTGTTGGACTGACGGTTTCCAAAGACACAGCAATTGCTAGATCTATCCAGAAGATTACACTAAAAATTTCATTTTTAATGCTATCAAACTAATGTTTAGGCTGGCTCTGAACGCAACGCAAGTTACTCGCAAAGAAATTTCCGAGGCGCGAGAATTTTTACCTCTCTGAAAGCGTCGAAGCGAACCGGAAACAGTGCCACGCGAACGACAGAGACTTTCGCAAGTATGAAGTTTGGTATGCCAGCTGAAAATGACTAATATTGAACAAATCTTTTACACACCACTAAAAAATATTACTTTGAAAATTATCAAAGCTTCGCTGTTTGGTTACTTTCTACCGCAGTTACTAAGTTAAGTAAAACAGAGAAGGAATGAAATTTTCTAAATGGAAAAATCAGTTTCGTCCACATTCAAAGTTTTATTCAAAACTAAAAGGAAAACGATTCTTTTATTTTGATATGCTGGCCTACTGTTCTTAAAAATTAGGAAAAAAATGAAGAAATATTGAAGAAGTCTGAAGGTTTTCGAAAATCTATTGTACTGAGTCACCTTGTTTAGAAAAAACTCATGATCGGAAGCGTGCCCGCGGGAGAGCGTGACAGTGATGAAGCGTGACAATATTCCGACCAGTCAAGAGGAAAATCGAAATGGTTAATTATATAACATTCACTAAGCAATTGCCTAATATCTACATCTAAAGTTCATTTACGAGCCAATTGCATAGTACAGTTGAACAAGTATTTTTGGGGCGGTAAAATTCCGTTTAGGGGTTTACGAATAAATTATGTTTCAAAACATTTTTACAGGCATTTCCGCTGGTAACATTTCTGATAAACAATCACGAAAATCGAACATCAAGCCATAAAAGGAAAAGAAAATGAAACGTTATGCAGTGAAAGATGAACAAAGACGCTTACCTCTTTCGGAGGCGCTCGCTTGATCAGCTATGATTCAGTTTTACGTTCAAATATTTAACTCATATAAATTAAGTAAATACAAAACTGAGCCCTCGTAGATTAAAATTAAAACAATATACGCGTAAAGATGTACGACTTATCTCTTTTTATCCGAATTCATTGGAGTATTTAAGCCATCAAATGACTACCTGCTTCTATGTCTCTAAACGATATGCAAATCCAACTCTCCTCGACCGCACCTGCTTAAGAGTTTAAAGCTTAAGAGGGAAAGTGAAACGTGTTAATGACATTAGTGATTGTTTGACTCAAGACCTCGAATGGCGAGCAATCGGTAACTCTTTCTGCAATTCAAAACGCAGGAAGAAGAATATTACGCTAAAAATAACATAAAATTCATCGGAGACACCTGATAGACACTCACAAGTACTCTGCAGCGTTATTCTTTGAGGAAAAGACAAAAATTGGTTGTGTTTTTCCGCTTATTTCCGGTCGAATCAATCCTTGGACTCACAAGGTCATGTTGTACCAACTCTGACAAAGTTGCTTCCTGTTAGCAAAGCACGGGCTCCGTACAATCCCGTTTGATATCCGCGCCGTCCACAAGCAGAAACATAAACAACGAAGTATCATCTGCCATTTTTCGGCGGAGTTTGAGGAAGCTGTGAGTATTTATCGGCTGAATTCTTCGCAACTTCCTTAACTTCCTCTTTTTCCGCAGCGCTGCTCTCTCCAACTTTAGAATCGTCTCTCTCGGTTTCAACCGACCCAACTTTTTCCCATTGAAATGTTCCTCCCTCCTTCGGTACCCCTTTCTCGAAATCGAAATTCCATTTTTCGTTCTTCTCTTGTACATCTTTCTTTAATTCCTTCTTCAAATATTCATCCAGTTCTTTGTGATCTGGTCGCCCAAAGAGGCACTTCTTTGCTTTGCTCTCTTCGGGATTCATCGAAGAAAACGACGCATGCGGTGAAAGTGAACACAGTACTGAACTTTAGAATTTTCCTCCTGTCATGCCTAGTTAAGTTCTTTCTGGGGTTCAAAGATTTTTCATGTCGCAAGAATTTATGCAAACGCGCGAAAAAGGTTTCTACGTCATCAGCTGGTATTTACGACTAGTTATTATAAATACTGTTCGGGCAAGTTCAGACACGTTTTTTACCCCTCTTCAAACACGCTATAAAAGGCAAAAATATAAACATCACGTGGATTATTTCTGTGTGTATGTGTGTGCCTGTCCGTCTGTCTGTCGAGGTGAAGTTGGAAAGTAAAGAATGCAAAATCTATAACGAAATAGCTGCCAGCTGCACATTAAACGTCTAATCAGCAACTTCATCAACTCCCACGCTTTCCCACAGACACCGCACGATATTCGTCGGTTTACTTTCACTCTCACTGTTAAATTTTTGCTCCCCTCATCGTGTTGAGAGCTGCTTATCGAAGTAAATTTCATGGAGGGGAAAATATTTCGATTCGAAACCGAAGATCATGCAGTTCGTGGGAAAAGTCACGAAAATCGACGGCTTCCGCTAATATAGTAGTTACATGAACTCAGAAAAATCAAGAAACATAAGATATAAGAAGGCACAATTAATTCGACTTTCCCGTGAAGTGATTCATAAATCTTTGCTTGAATAGGAAAAAAGTCATTGAAAAAATTTCGATGTTTATGATGACTCTTCAAATGGATTTGAACCGGAAATATATAAACAAAACTGTTTTGCACAAGTGCTTGAAAACTTGACTATGACAGTAATTTAGACGTACGCATTTGCTTTTCTTGGAAAAATAGAAGTTAAGAAGAGTGAAGCGTATTTACGTACAGTACAGTACGTGTGCAAATAATGCATGGAAGTAACATCTGTTCCGCGGGGTCACGTTAATTTGATCACTGTTTCTCGATCATTGAAATTATTTTTTATCACGGCAATGAACTCCAAGAAGTTAAAAAACAAGATTAAAATTTTACTATGAAATAAAAAATAATTGAGACTTAATAAACGTCAGCAAGGTATATAATCATTATCTTCTCTGGTGGAATATACGGATAATTATATCATACCCAAGCAAGTTTGGACATGTTCCTGACCTTTGCCATAGAGAAAGAATTGTTGCTCTTTAAGAGGATTTAAAAAAAACTGTTTCATAAAAAAAAACATTTATTAGGGCGCTTTGGCAAAACTGCTCTAGAAACAAGTCTAGACAATTGGTTTTTAATTTGCGCTATTTTTAGCAATCTGATGGACATGTATGTAAACAAGTCAGAGTTAAAAAAAACTGTAGAGACCTGCCAGATTTCTTGTGCGACTGTAAAACAAGGGCGATTTATACATCTCTGAAAAAAAAGGTTAACTCTCTTCTTATGACTTTCCTGTGCTTCACAGACAATGGAAAGTAAAACACAAAATGCTCTGTTATGAACGCGGTCACGCAATGATTCACACAACGCCACGTGACAACATTTCCAGTTGTACGCCTCGTTGTTATAGATATAGTTAGCGAGGGACTGGAGATGAGACATTCAAAAGATGGCGGCAAAGTATGGGAAAAGTTTTCAGTTGTCCTTACAACGTGTTTCCGAGTCGCAAATCTAGTCGTATACGTAAGTTTTCGGAAAGTTTTACTGTAGAATCAGTTAATGGAAATGGATGTAAGGAAATCGTAAGTATACATTTTTTTCTGCCTTCGATTACTCTAAAAGTAGTTTACAGTTTGTCAACGGAGATTAGTAATCATTGAACGGTACCTCATAAATTTTCAGACGAGGCTCAGTTAGGCTTCTTCAGAGCGTACTATGTGGTTGTGCGTGATCAAGATTTAAAATTAGAAATACAATCGCTGTGCGAGTTCAATGTGCGTGTCTATGAAGAACAATCTCGTTGATCGCGATCTAGTGTGGTCAATCGACTTGAATCTGCCCCAATTATAGAGATAATTGATTTATTTCCTTAAGATTGTGTGGTTTGTAATTCCCGTTCTGTTCAAAACAGAGGAGATCCATTCCAAGTTGATCCATTACCGAAAACATTTTATCATCCATCAAAACAACGAGAGCTATCCGAGGACGAAAGAAAGGTAAAACGTAGCAAATGCTGGCGATATCTTTTGAAATTCGGAGTATTCGGCTATTCAGTTTGAAAGGCGTTTTTTAAGAGAAATAAATCTACGGTATTCACGACAAAACTGAACAACTTGACTTGAGAAGTTATTGGGTAAAAAAAAATTTGATGATCGATAATTAGTCAAATTGATCAAGAGAATTCATGCATAATATAATTACCTTGTTACTGAATATACTGTAATTATATCAGTGCTTGCGTGTACTGCATTCTAAAATGACTTTTTTTAATTATTGATCCATTACTCAAATATATTATTACCTGTAAAACACAATCTTGTAAGCTGCCATTACATGCGACATGAACAGTACTCCCTTCCATATCCTGAAGCTTGCAGACATACAGTTCTGCAAAAAAGATTAAAGAGGAAATTTTGTCTCTATTATTTTTTTTTTCCACTGCAATGTGATTTTCAAAATTATAATCACTGGAATTATAATAAGGAAAGCAATGGTTATATCTACAATATATATATATATATTTATAAGCAATGGTTATGTATCCACAAGCCAGATGAATGTACCCATATCAAGTAGAATGAAATTCATTGAAAAAAATTGTACATTGCATTAAAATATTTCTTACAACTGACAAAAGGAAATACATTTCCAGCAAATTTCAATTCTGAATGTAGTTGTGGAAACAACATTGTTTGGTAATAGTGCACTGTTTATATATTACTGTCCAACTATTGTTACTGAAATAACTTACATAAAACTAACCAATTCAATTACAAGAAACAAGCATTGAATTCCTTTCAATTCTTTATCATCGTTGCTTACTTTGGTATTAAATACTGTTTTACAGAATCATGTTTAGCAGAAATCAGTTCACTTCACACCCTGATTTTCTACTTTTGCCTATGTGACCCATTGGTAACAGTAGTAGTACACAGTATATAGCTGTAGTTTCCCTCTACATATCTACAATTTTGCATTAGGTAATCTGTTTATATGTTTCATTTGTTTAAGCTTTGTCTTAGCCCAGATAATAAAATGGAACACTTTATCAAAAACCCTGAGGATGAAAAATTCCTTCGTAAGACAAATCAGATGAGGATACACGAAATACCAACAAGAGAAAATGGAACTACAGTGATGGACCATTCATCTTCATCCAAATTTGATGAGTCCTGGCCAAGTACAGAGCGAGCAATGGTATCAACTCCTGAAGTAGACACTGAAACCACAGAAACAAAGACCCCCTCCAGTGAAGGAGGAACAGGCTTTACAAGGCAGCTTCTTCCCAACTCCACTTTAGCCAGGTAACATTTCTTGGTGGGTTACTGACATTTGAAGCTTGAACACCAACAAAGAGGGTTTCATTTTGGTTTACAATTATCCTACTAGGATGAATCTATAATTTTAATCAACTGCTAATCCATCTCATTTTTAACAGGTATATACACCGATTCCGTAATAATCCACCATCAAGCCGTCAGGAGCGAGATAGGATGTATTTGGACAGTGGTGAAGGAGGAGAATTCTGGTGGCTGTCTCCTTCTCCTCCAAGTAGCTCCACACCCAAAGATGGAACTCCAAAGGAGAGAAACCTGCCTTTCCCACCTCAGAGTCTCTCTCCAAAACGGAAAAGAACTACTGCCCGGAGGACTAGTTCATCTCCAACATCTCCAGTGTCAGTGAGTGAAAATGCTTCCAACAATTTTAATGCTTTAAATGTGCATTTCTCTATTAAAACTAAGAGCCTATTTCATGTACAGAAAGATCAAGTTACAGTTCTTCATCTCAACATTTTTCAAAGTGGCTGTTTGTCAGACAAAATGCATGAGATGGTTACTCGAACAACATTTTATCTGCCAGTGAAAGAAGAAAAAAGTGCACAAAACCAAATCCATAATACCCTTTACCACAAAGAGGAAAGAGCATTTCTTTAATAAAACAAAATGGAAAAGTTCAACTCACTTCAACATAAGACCCTAAACAATAAGTGATGAACATATTACAGTTTGTTAGATGACCACAGAACACAGGTCACCAATCCAACGTCTTTCACTGAAAATTTGGCCTCATACTTTTTTACAACTCACCAAGGCAACAAAATCTGTCACAGCTCCACAAATCAGTAATGTTAAAAGGCAACTTAGGATCAAAACAGAAGATTAAAAACAATTCACATTATTGCTAAGCGAGCTCTCAGGTCTGCTGACCAACTTCTAGGGAATTTCCAAAATCGAGGAATTTTTAATTTTAGACACTGTCTCCACTAGAGGTATTTGTTCTACATTTATTTTTTTTTTGGTAATGGTTATGATTAATTGGTAACAGGACTGAGTGGAGTCTAATTCTGTTTGGAATCATACTTGTGATAGACAAATCAGGCTCCCGCTTTGCAGTTGTCCAATTTTGCTCATCACTTGTATGATTACAGACCAAATTGAACTCCACTCAGTCCTATTACCATTATTTGTCATGCTCTGCAGAAAACCAGAAGTACTTTGTCACCTTCAACCAAGTCATCGTTTGATGGACTTGACCTTCAGACAGCAGAACTACAACAGAGAGCCAAAGCACTGCTAGAGAAAAGGTTATTTACCTACTGAATGTGATGTTGATTGATGAAATACATATAACAGGAGTGCATCATGTTTCAGACTTAAAAGATCTTGAACAGATCATGGGAAAACAGAAAAGACCAGTGGAATTTCAAAGTATTATTTCCAAGCCTGGAATGTTGTGGAAAGTGATTGAAAATGACTTAAGTTGATATTTCTTAGAACAAATTTGAACCAGAAATACTATGAAATATAATTCCTTCAAGAGTCTAAATAGCGAAATGTACATGTAGATCCCGTGTAGGACTTAACACACAAAAATATCATATCATGATTACACTGCATTCAAAGATAATGTTTTAACATTACAGTGAAAGCACACTGGAAACATCTTCAACTGATCTTCCCATTCCATCAAGAAGGGCCCATTGGGAGGCTCCCAAGAAGAAACCCCCTAAAGAAGCACCATTCCAAGCTCCCTCGAAACCAGCCCCAATACAACTCACAGACAACTTGACTCAACGTCAGCCTCATTCTGCTCCTCCTCCAGAGGAAGATATCTTATATCAATGGAGACTGGCAAGAAAAATAGAAAGAGCTCAAGAACATGTGACAAAACGGGGGCTTGCAAGAAGTACTTTTTTGTTAGAACCCTCTCAACCTAGATTTATTGGTGCTAGACCAGAGGAGTCTCTGGGTTTGTTTGGTAAGGCAAGAATACCCAAACCCACTTCAGCTCTGTGTCCATCTGAGAGGGATTTTCTAGATCCACAATCAGGATTAGAAGTATCTGATCTTCCTTCAACCAGGATGCAAACAAGGCTTGAAACACCTTTGACACTTTTGGCTGATCAAGAAGGGAGGTCTGCTAGATTAATACCACCTCATCCCAGCACCATGCTTCTACCTGGAGCACCTGTGGTGAGTGCTGGTGCTGCACAGGGTTCACAGCCTATAACTGAGACTGAAAATGATGCTCATGGGTCTGGACCAAGAACAAGTGTGCCTTCTTCTGAACAAATCACAAGACAAGAAATTTTGGGGCAAGGGCAGTCCAAGCTGGTCCAGGAACAGATGCAATTTGAACAAGCAGATGTACCATCTCATGTGCATCTTTCATGTGATATCTTGCCATGTCCTCATCAAAAGGCTCTAATTGAAAAAGGAAGGTCTGATCCAACAATGAAACTCCCACTGAGTTACCCAGTAGTGGAGTTAATGAAGGAAGAACTTGCCTTACCAGAAAGAGATCTTGACAGAGTTAACAAACCAAGTAGAAAAACAGTAAGAGAATCTCACAAGAAGCATCAGTTAAGGGGAAAAGATACAACTGAGGACAAACAGAAGAGTCAAATTGAGTCACACCATGTTGAACAAGATGGGCAGAAAAGAAGAGCACATCAAAAACAGAAACCAAAAAGGGAAGTCTCAAGGGAGACTACAGCCACCGATGTGTTGACTGGTGTTATTGGAGAGGTGATTAGCAAATACACTACAAGTCTAAAAGTTAACTACTTACAATCGCTCTAACAAAGGGCTAATGCTTAAAAGTCTGCTTTAAAACTCTCTACAGTGGCCCATTTACATTAAATTATATTTATCAAATACCCTAAGAGTCATTCAATTCCTTGATACTGAAACCCTGGAGAAGACCATTTGAGGAAGAACAGAAAATGGCACAGGGGGGTGGGGTTTGAGGGGATGATGGTATAAGCAAGGCTTCTGGTGGATTTTGGGTACAGGGTCATAAACTAACTCAAGGTGTTAGATGATCTTATGAAATCCGACTACCTAGACGTTGGTTCCTCTTAATATTATAAACATAAGATGAAAAGTGTACAGGAAGAGTGTGATTTTCAAGGGTATCTCTTTGACCTCTATTTAAATGTTATTTAGTCCATTCATTAGTGATCTATCAACATTACCTTGCTCCCATGCAAACAACTTCCAAGCTCCCACAACATTCTCTATTACCAAAAAAGTCAGAATGTCAACCCTTTTAAGTTGAGGAATGCAACTATGCAACCACTGCACTAGTCTGAAAAAATGGAAAAAAAAACAATTTTTAACATTTAATCCCTGTTTTTTTTTTCATTATTTAAGGTTGTCTCACAGAGACTCTTTGCCACTCCACAATCTTCCACAAGCAGTTTGACAATAAGTGATGACAGCTTACAGCAAAGAGAGTACCATGAACAACACCACAAGGATACTGGTGAGGAAAAAACATTTTTCCATATATTTATTCTGCCTTTTTTTTGTTACTGCATTGCATTAGCAAGATCTATTTGGGTTTGTTTCATACTTTATCTCCAGAGGAAAACTCCAATCCTGACAGCAACTCAGATGATAATGAATTCCCCGATGATGAAGTGTTGAAGATCTTACGTCAGAGACAGAGAAAGTATAGAGACCAGCTTAGGTAACTGTTCCTAATAGTGACAGTGCCAAATGTATTTGACACTTTACACCCTAATATTAGTAGGTATATTCTCCACACTGTTCTCTATACAATTTTTAAGGTGCTGCCAAGGAGAATTTGTCTAACAATCAAGAGCTTCTTTAGTCTGTGATCATTTACTTTATTCTCATGACCTTCATGTGTGATTCTGGGGTGATATTGTAAGAAGAAATTAGAAGCAAGTCACCCTTAGGGGTTAAAGGGTTTATCAGCTTTTTACAGTAATTTGAAGAAAAACAGCTACTATTAATAGTTTAAAAAATGTATTGAAATTTGAAATGTCTAATATATTGTAATTATCCCTTTCACAGACAAATTGACAACATCTTAAATCAACAATCAAGTGATCAACCACCTGCTCGTAAAACAAAGGACAACTGAGATGACAGAGATTCTTTAATAAATGAGTTAAAAGTATTTATATTGATCAAATAAAATTATTTAATTTATTCACTGTGAATAAATCATCAATTATAAGATGCAGTTTCCTATGGTCATTACTTCTCCTATCTCTGTTGGAACTTATTGAAATGTAATCACTAAAGATCCAAGGACTTGCAGAATACATATTGTTACACCTAAATTGGATGAGTTTTCCCATTTGTTACTCTTTGTGTGCTTCACAATTCTACCAATATCAATTTTAAGGTTTTTCAAAATATGGTTTTAGTTTGGTAAGGGAAGGTCCATCAGGGCCTGTGCAAAAAAAAAGCTAGTCTAGAAGCAGGACCACATTAATAATGCTTTGGCACAAGTGTTTTTTTTTTTTGTTGCCGGAAAGTATGAAGCATTGAGCAACGTGAGGTGGCTGCTCGTCTCCCAGGGGTCTGGGACTGATCCCTGGCAAACTGCAACTTGTCTCAAATCTTTCAGGGGGTGGAAAAGTGTGTTTTGAGACTCTTATAATGAGGGCTTGCTCACGGACCAATTAAAAAAAAACAACACAAATTTCCATCAACTGAAAAATAATTGAAACTCACTCAAGTCCAAGAGGACAAACCAATGTGAAATGAAATGGCATTAGAACTAAACAATCAAATAATAAAAACAACAAACCACATTTCCTATTCATAAAACTTGAAGGCTGATTGCCAAAAATGAGCAAAACAAAAAACGGTGAAGAGCAAAAACAAGCATTTTATGTACAAAGGTGAAAAGCCAACTTAAAAGAATTGGAGAAAAAGACAAAAAAAAACAACAACAAACAATTGCGCCGCTCCCTTTAAATCGTTGTCTTAAGTACTGTAATCCCTTAAAATGTATTTGTTTCCTGCGAGTTATTAAAGCAAATAAATTTAATTTCCTTTGTCAAACAAGTTTTGTTCGGGACTCGCTGGCCCTATTCCCTTTTTGGTTTATAGCACATAATCCCAAAAAAAAACTCAGTCTAAGGAAGGTTCTAGGTTTGATGTATAGTTAAAATATGACTGGTAGTTGTTTAGTTTAACAAATTCTCACCATGCAGTTGGGTTGCAAATCTAGTACTGACTGCACATTAGAGACTGATTCATCTGTACATTTCAAGGTAAAATGCACATTTATCTATTGCCTTAATAGTCAGTCAATAATAATCCATACCTACCTAACAGAAGTTGTTCAAGTGTTCATTTCACTTTGGAAATTCATTGCAAACTTCCTGTTCAACCCCTAAGGTTTCTAAGAGACTGGCACTGACTGCGTTGTCCGTTACGGGTCTGGCACTAGAGCTGAGCGCGCAAGAACTGCTGGTATAGAACAGAGTCCATCATGGCGTCCGGAGCCGGTGGAAAGAAGAAGGGCAAAGGCGCGATCGATCACGAGCAGATTATAATGCAATTCAATCAAATGAGGCAGGAGTACAGGGGTATTATGGGGAAAATAGGAGAGCTCGAAATGGAAGTCAATGAGCATGGGTGAGAACCGATTTAAAAATCTCTATTAAGATATGTCAAACTGATAAGCGTTACGGGAATGTCAAACAAAGTTGGACATTAAACCTTAGGTCTGCCTTGTATAAACTCTTTGAAGAAGTTGTAACATTTATGAAAGAAATTTTCGACGGCTTTCATCATTAATATACTTTACTATTGCCATTTTACCCCAAAATCGGTTTCACTGTTATCGACTCCACGTGGTTTTGATAGGCACACACCTAAAAACGTTATTCCCTTCCTTTAGTTCGCTGGGGATTTCTTTGGCAATTATTGAAGTAATTACACTTACGATTTTTAGTCAGTTACTGTGGTATTTGATGTTTTGATCCTTTTTCAAATCAAGTTTTCCCTCTTCGTCTCGTTTCGTTTTCTTTCGTAAGTTTAATTTCTAAGTAGCAAATGGCATCCTCCTTTTTGACAGGTTGACTTGACCCTTTCACTCTCAAGATCTAATTAGTAATTCTTCTTACTATTTGTCATACAATTCTTATGATGGTAGTTCAGAGAATTTGGTATTGGATCAACTAATAATCCCATGATTGATATTCTTCTCTATTCTCATCACCTACCTGCTTGATATTGTATTGATATTGTAAGGAGAAATTCTGTCTTGGTCACTTGTGGGAGTGAAAGGGTTAAGGCTAAAAATAGAATTGGGGTATTGAAATATAAATATATAAAGCAAAAACATGTAGACCTTATGCTAGATTACCTCTTGTTAGTAGCCTGCAGATCTGCAAGGTTTCAGTGGAAATTAAGAGTAATTGTGAGTCTATGACTTGAAAATAATTGGTTTTCATGTTCTATTTTAATTCTTTACAATAGGTTCCTTTCCAAATCATGAGTTCTGGTCAAGAGAGAAAATAAGCAAAGAACAAATTATAACAAGTTTGCAAAAAGATACTCAGGTGAAATATTCCCAAACACTTGGTGAAAGTGGTGATTAATTTATCAAACTCTTTCTATTTGTAGCATTGTGATTGAGGCACTGAAAGGTGTAGAGCCTGATAGGCGCTGCTTCCGAATGATTGGTGGAGTATTGGTGGAGAGGACAGTCAAGGATGTTCTCCCAGCACTGGAAAACAACAAAGAACAGGTCAGAACATTTTCCTGCAGAACTATAAGGGGATATAAAGGTTATCATACAGAATGATGTAGATGCTGAGATGTTTGGTGACTCTTCCTGAATGTCATGCGAGTTAGTTTTAGAGCATCCCTTACAGTTTCATCAGGTTTTCCCTAAAAGTTTGGTAGCTTCAACATTTTATGCCTGGATGGAGAGGCACTGCAAAAGTTATATCGTATCCCTAAGAACTCAGCTTGGTGCTTACATGCCAATCTTTTGATCCTGATCTGTGTTATTCCCTTGGCCCCAGTTTTTCAAGGTTGGATAGCACCATCTACTAGATAAAACTCTATCCAATGGATAACGCAATACATTTTGCTATCACTTATCTGTTGGATAGCATTCTGCACCCTTTATACAACTGGGCCCTGGAGTTTATCAGTCTTGGTACAGTGAAAGTACTACTCAGTGATAGCAGGCGTCAAACAAACTTTTTATCCATTTCAACCTTGTATTCCCCATTTATACCTTATAGTAATTGTTCACATGTAAACTATGTAAGTCATATGTTAAAAGGGCAGGTATGGGGATGCGTAACTTCCAGTGAGGACCAAGATGTTTAACAAGATATTTATTGTCTACTGTGTGTACGAAGAGTTTTAGAATTGATTTCAGGTGACATTTAATGGATTCAAATGGCTTATGCACTTTGAAAGCAAAAGGAATCAATTTCCAATTGGTTGTTACACACCACAGTTGAGAACAACTGTTCATAAATACAGAGAGATCTTTGCAAATAAAGGTTTAAATTTTAGAGGGTGGTAAAGGAGAGTTTGGCCATTTGACCCTTTAACTCCCAGATCAATTTTGTAGTTCTCCTTACTGTCAACCATACAATTCTTATAATGTTAGTTCAGAGAATTTAGTATTCGATTAAATAATTATCCCCAAGTTGATATTTTTCTTTATTCTCATCACTTATCTGGTTGATATTGTATAGGTAGTGTAAGGAGGAATCCTGTCTTGGTCACCCATGGGAGTTTAAGGTTAACTGACCAATCACAGTGCCGGTGAGAAAAAGGGATAAAATAAAAATGATTACCCTCTCACCGTGGTATTTATCTTCAGATTTCAGGCCTCATTAACAAGTTAAAAGACACTCTCACTGCCAAAGAGCAAGAACTTACGGCATTCAAAGATAAACACAACATCCGTGTCAAGGGAGAGAGAGAAAGTCAATCTGAGGATTCTGTACAGACTGCTGATAAGACTTCAGGAGTTCTGGTGGCACAGGACAATTCATAAGATGAAGGGAACAATATTTATTGATGTTCTGATGCATGGAAAGCTTCAGTGGACACAGTAGCCAGTGTGGCAAGCATTTAATACACTGACTCAAGTGAAACCATTCCAAAGATTCCCTCCCCAAGTTTAAATGTTAATCTTAGTTTTTGCACAGGACACTCCATTTTGAACAAACAGACAGATTTTTTTCTCACAGTGAGTACAACACAAATTATGTTAGTGAGAAGATTGAAAGACATTGTCACCTAGTGGACATTTTACATATAGTTTTCAAGTCAATAGCTTTGTGATAGATTAGAAATTCTAATATAAGTGTGAGTTATAGAGAGTGGTACATGTACACAACACAAATCAGTGTAAATTATATTCTTTCTAGATCCTTTATTTTACCTGCAGACTTGAGATATGGTCATTTGTCTTTCAAAGTCAATAATTTAAATGAACCATAATTTTGGACCCTATAAAGTTTAAAGATGTTATATCTTCTTGCTTTTGTTTGTCAGCTTCTTATTCAATTCATTTTAAAGGAGATACTAAAATGTTTGCACATAGTTAAATTAAGTGTGGCCTAGACTGTATGTAATGATTAAGTGAATCTGTGTTTCTGTAAGAAACACAAGGTTTTACCCTGTGTATATTCAAAGTTATGAATAAATAATTTGAAATACCTTTGGACTCACTAGAATAGAATAAAAATCATTATCTGATCTGTCCATTTGCCATTAATCATTAAAAAAACTATTCTAATAGCCCTTTCAAAGTAGAAGCTAATGGCTCCTCTTCAAAGTGGCACTTTGTAATTAAATTTTTTTTTTTGAAGAAAAGAAGTTTTGTGGCAAGAATTGAAAGAATTGGTGGAGATTCAAAGGAGAAAACTTATATTTGCTTATTTGAAATTCTTTACCTGTTGAGGAAATCATTTATATATGAAAACAGTGTGTAACTGTTTAAATAACATTAATTTTTGTTCCTAAAAACAACAGCAGACCAAATAAGCTTTGTATAATATATGACAAAATATTTTTGTGCACATAAAATATTAATAAGGGCATAGGAAATAAAAAAACTTTGAAAGATTACGAAAGAGAGGATTTGCATAAAAAGGCTGCTGGCATAAATATCCTGCATG